TCAGCACAGAGCCCCATGCAGGGCTTGAACTCCCAAAACTGTGAGATCATGACCTGAGCAGAAATCAAGAGTCAGACACTGAACCAGCTGAGCCACCCAGGCGCCCCTCACTTGTAATAATGTCGAAGACTCTTGAAACTTAGAAATTACAATATTCTTACTCAATAGCACTGGTTATCAAACCTTTTTAAAGGATTATTGAAGCATGGAAGTTGGTTCAAAGTGGCTCTGCCCTACTGAAACGGGATAGGGTCCTAGGCCTCTGTCCCACTCAGCCTCCCCTCCCCTCGTCCGAGGCCGCTGAAGGCTTCACAACCAGCCCATGAGTCCTCTTTGAAAAGAATTCCTCCTCTCCAGGAATGTCAGACTTTTGTTAGTTTTTCATGTGTCAAAATCTGAACTCCAATTTTATAGTTTAAAAAATCAAAATCCGTTTATGCAGTTTGATTACCTGGTCCCGTGCCAAAACCCCGTTTCCGTGTGACCTGAAGTTGCAGGATGGAACACCCATTACTAACTGTGACACCCTCAAGATTAATAAGGTAGTAAATGCAGTAGCCCCACTTGTCCAAAGCATTTTGGAGAGGGGAGCTTAAAACTAGTCATTTTTAGGTGAGTTTGATAGACTTACAAAGTTGGCATATATTCTAATGGGAAGTTTCTTCGTTCATTTCTCACTGATATAAAGATATTCTATTGACTTGTTAGAGTGTTTACATTTACAGTATTAATACGAAATTCCGTTCAATGTCTTGAGTTTTTCTTTACACTGCGTGGGATAGATGGCTTTACTTAATGCCATGTGTACACACTGCTATGCTCTAATCATTGAAAGAAAATACACCGTTATATTTACGGCATAGAGTATCCTATCCAGTTTCTCAAATTTTAGAAGGATGGTAGATTAGAAGGCCTGCCAGTGAAGTGAATAATTTGTGTTATCCTGCCACACATCATATGGCTTAAAGCAGTGACCTAACTGCTGGCATACTTTGCTCCTGGTTCAGCCTGGAGGAATTGTCACGTGTCGTTGGCTGGCCAGCACAGTGCTGTGACCTTTGAGGTTGGGTGATGAAGGGCTCTGTGGAAGGCCTTCCCATACGGTTGCAGACCTGACTAGTTTTTACCGAGAGACCTGTTTGGCTGTACATGTAACCATCCACTTTCCCTTCACAGAAAATCTGCAGCTGTGCTTAGGGGAGTTTCTACCCAGGCTTCTCGATCCTTCTGCAGAAATCATTGTCTTGAAGGAGCCTCCAACTATTCGACCCAACTCTCCCTATGACCTTTGTAGCCGATTTGCAGCCGTCATGGAGTCCATTCAGGGGGTTTCAGCCGTGACGGTGAAGTAGGCCCCGCACGTCCAAGGCCCACTGTGGTCCAGCGCTGCCTGCCTGTCGCACAGAAGTCTGTCGTCAGTGTTTTCCCTGGGGAAGGGATTAGGTGGGAAAGTAAGCTTCAGACCCAGCCCCCAGCCATGCTCTGTGTGTAAAGAAGGATTGAAAATAAAATTGCACTTTTTAGGTACAGAATCATTAAAGCAGTTTCATCACAAAAGACAAGAACCATTGTATTAAGGTATCGAATTACGTGACAAGACCTGAAATGCCTTTTGTACCTACGTGAATGTGCTCGCAGGGCTCCAGCTTTTTTTGTGATTCTCTTGCCGCTTTTAAAATGATCCTGCAGGCCTAAATATTTTTGACAGTGGAATAGAAGGGCGATCCATCAGAACCTGAGCCAGATGAACAGCTACTAGTTATTTTATCAAATGCAGGTGACATTTCAAAGTTCTTCATGGCAAGAGATGAGAACTCTAAACCTCGCCTGTCTCTTGACAGGAGATGACAAAATGGTTTGCTGACAAGCTGCCGCCCTTCACGTGTGGGTAGAAATCCAAGGGCACGGGGCAGCAAGTGCTGCAAAGTCGGAAGAAAGCTGCCTTTCCTTTCTTCTCCCTATCTCTCTCTCTCTTTTTCTATTTTTTAAATAAACCAGAAAACCTCACACTCAGTCCCGAGTGAAGGAAAGGAAAGCAGTAAGGGCCGTGGACGGAACGGCGCTGGGAACCGTGACTAAGACAGGAGAGTGCTGGGGTTTCAGTAGAACCTTCCTGCACCCGCAGAACGGCAGCGGCAGGTGCCTGAGGCCGCTGCTGGCCGAGAACGCTTGGATGCCCCTCCCCTTTTTTGCTCTGAAAAATTAAGGGATGAGGGTTTGTAAAAAGAAAAAAAAAACTATATATATGTATGTATATGTAGAGAGAGAAATATCCCCTGTTGACCATTTTTAAAAGGCTCCAGATTGGACATTGTGTTCTAACCAAATTTTAACATTAAAGAAGGAATAGTGGGTGGGAAGAACTCTCGATACAACTATGCAGATTTTATAAATGTGCAATAAAAGTGTCGTGGTACCTTCGGTGTCCAGGATGGCCTTCATTTAAGCACACATTTTCTGGAAGTCGGCCGACTCCGTGAGCCTTTATCATGTTACAGTTTTTCTTCTTTAAAAGACAAAAAAAAGTAGATAAAAGGGTTGAGAATCTTGACGGGGGAGGAGTGAGAGCGGGCGACAACGGTTCTTGAGCACCACCTAGTGGTGCCCTGGTGTCCTGCACCCTCCGTAAGTGTACCTACTTTGTAATCCCTTGAATTTAGAAGGCAAAAAAATTCTCTTAAAACCGACCTTCTTACCTTTTGACTGAGTTAATGGGAGGCAGTCCTTTATAGAATTTCAGAGCTGCATTTGTGTTTCAAAGCTCACTGCGAAGATCATGGTTTCATGGGAAATTGCTCCGTTTTCCTACCCTTTGATTTGCTTCACTGTTTAAAATTCTGGGTGCCAGCATTTGCTGTTCACTTTTTAATGTCTGTCATCACTGAGTACTGTGCACAGTTGTATTATTTCACTTGCTTTAATGGCCCTGGAATGATGATGGGGACTGGTGTGCCCAAGGTCATAGAAGTTTTAGGCAGCGGAGCCAGGGCACCAACTTGGGCAGGCTCACTTCATAGCCTGTGCTTTGGACAACTGCTCATCTGTCCTTGGCAGTCTTATAAAATCTTTTGCTTTGTACCTTCCCACATTTGCTACCTCCTGGTCAGCTCTTGGGAATCTATAGTTGACCAAGACAGGAACAGATGGGCATTTGTATGTGTGGTGTGAGGTACTTTCTGTCATTTGGAGCCAGTCAGACCACCCAGTGGGGTGCTGAGGAGTAATGTCTTTTAGCTCACTTTTGCTGGGTGCTTTAGGTATGTAGCCTGGTTTCTTAAGGGGTCCACAAACTGCCTCAGGCTAAGACGTTTTTACACATTTAAAGGATTGTGGAAAAGCAGCACAAGGGCCAGGAAGGTGGACAGAAATGTACTTGACCCTACCTAAAATGATCCAAAGATTTGATCAGGGTACTTGACCTCACCATAAATTCCCTTGGGACTGCGTTTAGGCTTTCTGTGGCTAGCTGGAATTGTGACCCTCCTCTCTTTGTGTTTGTTAGCTCCTTTAAGAACTATAAGGCATATAAACTCATTTTTATCCTACTTGCTTCAAGAGAGAAGCATGAAGTCCATACACAGAACAGTTGAAATAATAAATAAACCAGAGGCAGGGACTGAATGAAGGGCTGGGGTAGAGTGAGGTGGGGTAGAAGGAACAATTCATTGTAGCTATAGTTTATCCACTTTCATTGCTTGGTTTACTGTATTTCTTTGTCTGACCCTGTCTCACAATTTATTCTGCTAACTGTCATTTTTGTTTCCAGTTTTGGCTACTCTCCGTGACACTGCCAGGAGCATGCATGTGCATGTATTTCAGCGCACACATGAATACATTTCTGTTGGTATGGAACTGTGAGTGGAATTACTGGGCCACAGGCCATATGGGTCACAAAGGGTCACAGGGATGGCTGCGTCTTTGTTAGGCACTGCCCCAGAGTTTTCCAAAGCCATTATGCCAACTGAAACTCCCACCGGCCTTTGATGAGCTCCAGCTGTCCCGTATCCTTGTCAAGATTTGGTTTTGTCAGTATTTTTAATTTTAGACCTTATGGTAGATGTATAATACTTTTTTAATTTGCCCTTTGCAGACTAACGGCATGGAGCATCTCTCTACCTGCTTATTGGCCTTTGGCTATTTTATGAAATACCTATTAAGTCTTTTGCTTCCTTCTTTTGTTGGATTTACTGTCTTGCTACATATTGATTTGTAAGAGTTGTAAAAAATACCTAGTTATGGAAACTTCTTATATGCATTCCATATATTTTCTGCCATTCTGGCTTTTCGTTCCTGATGGCTTGATGAAAACAAATTTTTATAATGTTAACATCGTCCAATTTACTGGTCTTCCCTTCACAGTGAGTTAAGCTGAGTGTGCCCTGTTGAGGAAATCTTTACTCAAGGTCATGAAGACATTCTGTGTCATCTCCCAGAAGTTTTGCTGTTTGACCTTTCACATTTATCTGACTGACCCCAGCACCTTTCACTGTCTTTTTCCCAGTACTGTGCCTTTGTCATAAATCAGAGGTCTATGTAGGGGTCTGTTTCTGGGTTCTTTTTACCTGTTCCATTGGTTCCATTACTCATACCAGTATAACACTGTCTTCATTATACAGCTTAATGAATCTTGATTTCCAATAAAATAAATCATCCAGTTTTGAACATCCCCAAGATCATCTTATCTATTCTTAATCTTTTGTATTGCCATATACGTTTTAGAATCAGTTTATCAGTTTCACACATGCATATTTCCAGGGATTTTGATTAGGTTTACAGTGACTTTAGATAATTTGGAGAGAACTGACATCTTCTGATCTATGAACATTGTATATTTCCTGATTATGTAGGTTTTCTTTAATATCTGAATAAACTTCTTCCATAACTTCTGTAAATTGATTCCTAGATCTTTGATGTTTTTCAAGCTATTTTAAGTGTTGTCATTTTTGGAATTACATTTTAATTGTTTTGTTGCTGGTATCTAGAAACAAATTCATGTTTTTGTGCTTGCTTCAGCAGCACATATACTAAAATTGGAACGATACAGAGATTAGCACGGCCTCTGCACAAGGATGACACTCAAATTTGAGAAAGAAATTGATGTTTTTATATCAACTCTGTATCCAATGACATTAATAAGTTAACTTACTAATTCTAATAGTTAATCAGTTTTTTTTTAAGGTTTTTTTTCTACGCACAATTATGTTATCTGTGTATGGTGGCTTTTATTTCTTTATTTCAAATCCTTGCAACATTTATTTTTCTTGCCTGATCACACTTACTAAGACCTTTGGTACAAACAATGCTGAATAGAAGTGATAATGGGCATCTTTGTCCCCAATATCAGGGGAGAAAGTTTGCAATATTTCATCAATAAGTATGCTGTAGGCTTTTTACAAATTCCATTTATTAGATAAAGAAAGAGAGAGTCCTTCTATTCCTGTTTTGCAAAGAGTTTTTAAAAAAAAATTGTGAATGGATGTTGAAATGTATCCAGTGCTTTTTTCCTACATCTATTGGAATGATTACATGGGTCTTTTCCTTTATTCTGTTCATGTGTGAATTACCTTGACTCATTTTAAATGTTCAACAAACCGTGTGTTGCCAGAAGACATGGATCGTATTTTTATGTGTATGTGGAATTTGTCATATTTTGTTTAGGATTTTTGCGTGTATGTTCATAGAGAGATTGGCCTTTACTTTTCTTATTACATTCTTGTCAGGGTTTTAGTATCGAGATTATTCTGGCCTTATTGAATGAATTGGGACATGTTCTCTCATCTGAGATCATCTGAGCTTAGAATTATGTGTTTCTATTAGGTGTGCTTTTCATTATGGTAAAGCAGTCTGTTTCATACAGCATTTTTGGATTTTTTGGGTTACTTCCTCTTGTGTGCATTTTGGAAAATTATTGGAAATTTGTCCCATTTCAACTAAAATTTAAATTTTACTGGCAGAAAGTTCGTAATACCTTATGATTTTCCTTCCTCCCTTCCTTTCTTTCCCTTTTTCTTTCCTTCCTTTCTTCCCTTCCTTCCCTTCCTTCCTTTCTTTACTTCCTTCCTTCCTCCTTCCCTTCCTCCCTCCCTCCCTCGGATCTCTGATGTTCTAGTGATGCTGAAGCTGGGTGACATGTATTTTTTTTCTGGTTAGTATTTTTAGGGGTTTATTGGGTCTTTTCGATGGTTAGTATTTTCAGGGGGTTATTAATTAGGTCTTTTTCAAGGAACTGTATTTTGCTTTGGTTTAAGTTTCTCTTTCATGGGGCGGGGGGAGTTTGCTTTTTAAATGCAAAGCTCTTCAGCAGTGATTCTTAACCTTGGCTGCCAGTCCAGGGTCTCCCATGTCACATTAAAACAACAGCAGCTGACCTTCAACCCTGCAGATCCTGACTTGTGGGATTTGGGCTGGTACCCATTGCTTGTGCTTAGAAGGGCATCACAGGTGATTCTGATGTACAGGCACACCTGAGAGTCTCTCCTTCAGAGAACATCTGTGCCTGCTAAGGAAGTGGCTTTTACGGTCTCTCCCACACCCCAAATTCTTGGGCCTTACAAAATTAGGTTCTAGAACCTCCTTCAGTGAGAGTTCACAGGATTTCATGTTTTCTGGATTAATGTATTTTGGCATTCCTCATGTTGCACATTCCTCAGGTTGAACTCAACTTTGACAGAGATATCGAAAAATACGTTTCTTATAATCCACCTTCCTTTTAATTCCCATAAACACACCAGTTCCCTAAAGTTTGCTCATAGGCTCAACTTCTCAGCTATTTGGTCATTACAGTACTTTTTTCTGAACCTTGAAAAAGTTTTCCACATTCTTTCTAAGTTGTTGGACAGTAAACCGAACTATTAATATACTGCAAGGCAAGAGCAGAACTGGCTTAAGAGAGATTTTGGGGACCTTTTCCATGTCTTCGTCATCTCAGCACTCTGGCTTGCGGCACTGCCCACCAGCTTGTTGGCTGCTTATGGTGACCCCTCAACCTCCCGTGCACCATTGATAGGCAGGGGAATGGTCTTCCAGGGAAGACACCTGGCCGCTCCCCTTCTCAAAGAGAAGATCATAAGCCTGATTGCTCCTGTTTCATCAGGTGGATGAGAAACTGATGATAAGCAATGAATAGGAATATTAACTTGGAAGTAGAAACAGAGGCTAGACCTCCCAAAGAATGTAGGCGTTGGCATGAAAGTGGTGCCCAGGAACCACCAGTAGTGAGTCTTCAAGATTAAACGTATGCTAGCCCCATTGCTAAAGCACAGACACGGAAGGGTGGCCTGTTTTCTGTCTAGAGTCCTGATGGTGGGCTAGACGTGTCTCTGCATGCCAAAGTCGGTCTTTGTGAGTTAGCATTCAGATTTCAATAGTCAGGACAGAATTCCCAGTGATGACCTGAAAGTAGCATGGTCATTCCACTACGTCATCCTGACTGTCCCTGCGTAAGGGACAGCCAGATCTCCTCCATGGGTTGACCGGGTCTCCAGCTTTCCTGACTCACAAATCACTGCTGAATCAGTGTCTCTTCTAAGAAGATGTGGAAAGAATACTGACGCTGGAATCTGCCACACCTGATTTCAAATACTGGCTGAACATGTTTTCCTGGTCTGTGAAACAGGAAAATACTTACCTCGTAGTTAGTGTTTTAAGGGTCAAGGACAAAACAGCTGTAGCAATGACTCAGCGTGAGCAGAGCCCTCGGTGCAGTTTTCATGGGGAAACTTGTCGTGGGATGAGAATTTCAAGGGCTGGCCTGACCTGTGCAGGGTTCACAGCTCGGTTCTAAATAACTAGAGCACCGGTAAATATCCAGAGGGCTGGGGGTCTCTGGCAAGTGGAAGTGTTCATATTGGCCAGTCTGACTGGCAGAGAGAAATGCTGAAGGAATCAGAGCACATGCCGGATAGAAACATCACAGCATCTTCTACCTGATGCTTCTCCTGTTTTAGATACATTTTCCTCTTTAATCGTGTTATCGAAAGGCTTGAGCTTGATAAGGTACAAGGAGTCAATAGTTTTCTTTTTGTTTCTGAGGCCAGCATCCAGTATGATACTACGGATCCCTTTTTCCTGCCCCGACAGCATCCCAGGAAGATGGCAGAGCTGGACTGTCACGTGGAAGCATTAAAACAAAGATTTGCATGTACTGCAGAGTCTGGACCAATCTAGACCAGTTCGGTCGTTCGTTTTTTGAGTGCTTCTCCTCTGTGGTCAACTCCTGGCTCCGCTAGAGCCTGGGGGCAGGGGGAGACTTTGTAATACTCTCTCGGTTCTCAAATGCCCTTTGTTAGGTCAGGAATGCAATTATTAGCTCTTGTGTGAGGTATCTTATGTGTTCTCCAGACAACCCTGTAGAAAACCTCTGCACTGTCCTTTGATGTGGCTTTTGGACTTTTCTCTTACAGACTTCTAAGCTCTTGGTTAAGTCATTCACCCCTCCCAGCAGTGCTCTGGGACAGTGTCACCCAGACTACTTCCCCTGAGTCCACTTGGGCTGTGGAAAGCTCACCACCCCACCCCACAAAGGCCAAGTGCGGCTGCTGCCGTCATGCCCCACTCCAGCCAGGCTGCTGTTTCAGACCGCCTCACTGGGGACCAGGCACCCTTCTCTGTGCTTCTGCAACACAGGTCTGGTTTTCTCGAGAACTTTCTTCGGCATCATGCTGAGGGCGGCAGGCGTAGGCCCACGGAGCTTAGCAGGAGTGGGTTGGGAGTGTTTTGGATTCTGTCTGCCCTGCTAGACTCCCATCTCTGCGCGGTCCTCCTGAGGTCCATCTCCACCCTGTTCTCACACGGAGGGGTTGAGAACATCACCACCCAACTGTTAGCAGTTTCCATCCAAGAATCCATCTGTGCTTCACTTATGTAGGCTGTTGAGTGTGGCGCTGGCCAGCTTGCCCCCTTCTTAGAAGCAGTGTATTGAGCCCCTCTCTTTAGAACAGGGGGCACATAGCACCCATGGGACTTGACTTTGAGGCTTTGTTAAAAATTCTGAGCAACAGAGACGTCCAACCTACATTCTACAAATGTGGGTGAAATAGCAAGAATGGCTTAAAAAACAAACCCATCAATCAGTAGAGTGGAAAGGGACCTCCAGCTTCTTTGGTTCTATGTTTGAGGGCAGTGACTACAAACATTTTCCTAACTCTGAGTGTCTTTTTGTCCTAATCCTGGCTGCTAAGACACATCTCCTGTGCAGAAGCTCATGAAACTATTTCTGACTTCTCTTCCATCCCCAATTGTGTCTAACCCACAATTGGCTTTCCTTAGGACTTTTTCTCTAGATCTAGTCTTGGAGGCTCAGAAGGGTAACAGATGAGTATTTTAATAGGGACCTTCTGGAATGCCTTATCTGCTAACGGGGAGGTTCTCAGACCCAAAGGCAGGCTGGTGGAGAAGATGGCGCTGAGGCACATCGAATTCTGACATCACATTTGGTGAGTCCCTGGGTTTCTTTCTTGCAGTGTGTGCACATAATAAAAGCTTTTGACTTGAAATTCTGATTGACTGATGTTCTTTGCTGTTTCTGATACACATGACAACACACCTCTCCATGTGTAACCACAGTAAAGAAGTGTTTTTCATGTTAGGATAATTTGCTGCAAGTCTACGTGAGAAAGGGCTGAGTTGAAGCCAAGACTTAATTAGTTCTATTTTTATTTCTCATTATTTCCCCTACAAAGCAGGTAAATGAAAACAGAGGCAGTTTTAAGGGAAAAGCATCTTCTTCCTCTAAAAATGGACCACATTCCTGTCTGGGAGTGACATGCTGTTGACTATTTGGAAATCAATCAACAATCCTCATCCCCATTAAAACACATGCTGCTGTGTCCTTTATAGGGGAAGTTAGGAAGACAAAATATTTTCTTAACAAATATTTAGTTTGTGTTCTCTCCTTTTTTTTTCTTTTTGCAGTGGAAGCCACGATCACATGCTGGTGACAAATCTCCCATTGCACCTGCACACATGGCATTAGGACAAAGGCTGGGAGTCACCAGCAGCGACAGGTGAACCACCTGGCAGTAAAAACCCTGTGTTTAGGTCTCAACAAAAGTACAAAGGACAAGATTTTTCCTTGTAGTTCTTTGGTTTTTCCTTCTGCTTCATTGCTAATTTTTCCTTTGGTCTGATGGATTGTCCCAGCAACCCATCTTCAGGAAGCAACAGGATGGGGCGAAGAAAGACTACCCTGAGGTCAAAGTCCTGACCAGCTATTACTCGCCACGGCACGTTGCCTAAATTTTCTGGATCTCAGTTTCCTCATTAGCAAACCAAATAATATCCGCTCTCCCAATCTCCAAAAAAAAAAAAAAAAAAAAAAAAACCCTCTCAAGGTGTGTTTAATAATACTACTAAGATATGTGGGAGTGTTTTGTAAACTCTTAATCCCTACACAACCGTGTGATCGGGAAACGGGGGGGGGGCAGTGAGGTGTTAGAGGAGGGGGAGCACGTACAGCTGCGGTCACCTGGGGGTTGAGTTCTGACTCCTGGCCACATGGTTGGCTTCCTGTGGTCCTGAAGACAGAGACGGTGTCCATTATATGACCTGTAGGCTCGACAAGGTCTGGCTCCTTCCTACCTCACTAGGCTTGCCTTCTACATTTTTCTCTCTCCATCCAGAACTGCTATCCATCCTCAGATTTTACCCAATTATCCTTTCTTTAGCGTATCCATCTAGGACTCCCCTGTGACTAGGTTACAATTTCTCCTATTGCATGATCTTATAGAAGCATGTGCCTTTCCAAATTTGTAAGGGTTGTCTTGGTTACAATTTCCCTTTATTTAAGTGATTTCACATTATTATTTGTCTCTCCAATTTGCCTGTACAAGAGGCAGGGATAAATTTTGTCTTTTACCATTTTACCCCTGGTTCCCAGCACAATGCAGAGCATATGGTAGGTGCTCCGTTCATATTTGTTAAATGAATGAATAAATGACCAGATGGGCGAATGAAGAGGTGGGTCCATCTTGTCCACCCTGTGAAGATCCAAAGTTAACTCCTGGATATTGGAGCCTCACCCCTGAGAAGGAGTAGTTAATGAAATCGGCATCGGAACCATAGGAAGCCAGAATGCAACTGGTGCAAACTGCCCTTTTATGTGCAGACATTTATTTACCGAGGAGTCATTTGGATGTGTGGACAACAAGGGGACATTCACACAAGGACATGCATAGAAGGGAAAGGAACTTTCTGGAGAAAGCATGACTCCCAGAGAGCACCTCACTCTGGGTAAGAAGGTAAAAGCTGACAATCATTAAGGAGGGCCCTTTTCAGAGTGAGCAGTGGGTGTCCTGTGTTAGAGAGGAATCACTGGGTTCTACTCCCAAAGACAAGACGACACTGTATGTTAACTAACTTGAAAATAAATGTTAAAAAAATAATAAAAAGTTGCTGGAGATGAAGTTGCACCTGGGCAGACTCATTTCCTCAGGAAAACAAACCAACGAACCCATGTTATTTTTCTGAGGAGGGGCTGTCCTGGGCTACGCCGGCAAACTTGTTTATACTTGTGTTGGGGTGTGTATGTGTGTGTTCTTGCTTGAGCAGCGGCTATCAAGAGTCCAGGGCCATTTTATCGAGAATGAGAGGCATCTGAGCACAAGCAGCGCAGCCTCAGAGCTGAGCAGGCAAAGCACAGCACCAGTGTGGTGGGGAGAGGGGGCTCAGGTCCGCAAGCAATCCAGCACGCCTGGGTACTTGGGGAAGTGGCCTGTTTGAGGACATAGGGAGCAAGCACCTTTGCTTATTCTCCTGCAGGAATCGTGGATTCTTTTGACTGAGTAAGGGAGCGGGGGTGGGGTGGGGGTGCAGATGGCAGTGGGAGGAACAGCTGAAGGGTGCTTTCAACCAAGAGAAAGGTGTATGGGTAAGCCTGAGGCTCTTCCTTGAGGACTTGCCCGAATGCCTGAGGAAGACCTGGGCTGGGGTATCAGGCTGAGCGCCTGCCAGTGCAGGTGGGAAAAGCAAAGTAACTCAGGTCATTGTTGTGAAGGGGACTTTATTTGTAGCCACAGCCTGGGTAGCTCGGCTGACATTTGGGTTCCATTTTAAAGGATTTATAACACGATTTTGCATACAGTGGAAGTAGAAGACATTGCTGAGAAGCTGATAATTCTGTCCACGTACATGCCCACATTGGGTGGATCTTGGGCACGTCCACTGTGGGGCTAATCAGTTTGCCCTGGTTTGCCTGGGCCTTCCCTAGCTTTAGCACTGAAAGTGCCCAGTTCTGGGCAAACCACAATGGTTGTTCACCCAACTACTCATTCACACTATTTCTTAACTTCACGCTGGGAATACAGAGCTGACCACTCACACCCCTCAAAATATAGCAGAAACAAGAATATGTCTTCTCTCTGGGTTATTAAGAATCTATAAAACTGGGGTGTCAGTCGGTTAAGTGTCCGACTTTGGCTCAGGTCATGATCTCATAGTTCGTGGGGTCGAGCCCCGCCATCAGGCTTCTTCGCTGACAGTGTGGAGCCTGCTTAGGATTCTCTCTCTGCCACTCCCTAGCTCGTGAACTCTCTCTCTCTCTCAAAATAAATAAACTTAAAAAAAAAAAAAGAGTCTACAAAGCCACAAAGATGTATTGTGAGGCTCCCCTTCAAATCGTGTACTGGAGGCAGAAAATGAGCACAAGGGAGCTTCCTACTTTAAGGGGCTCTCCTGGGCCAATAATTCCTTTCCATTTGCCAGGGCATATTCTCCAGCAATTCTGTTTATATCTACAGTGGCTATTGACACTAGATTTTCTATGATGGAGGCAATTTTGCAATATATTTTCCTTAGTAATGAATCAAGTACATAATTAATATTATGAGTTTAAAAGCCTATGATACAAGTAAAGTCTAAATCAGAAACATGCTTGCTAGAAACTCTGCTTTTATTTTTCATTCTCAAATGAGGGTCGCCATATCACCATGATGGTCAAATCCTTACCAAGTGAGACAGTGACTAACACCCCCAAATGAGGCAAATATTGAGAGGGTGGTAAAGAATAAGGAAGGGAAAAGATTCTACTGACATTCCTTTATTCCGGAGATTCCTTGGCAGAAGCAGGTCCTAGACGAACAGGTTCCTAGGTCTTGGTGTTAGATAGAAGGAGTCATTGGATTCATCCGCTGGGGCACAGAATGGTGGGGCTGTAGTGCCAGCCATCCGGAGAGAGGGCACATCTTCTTTTCCCAGACAGGCTGAGAAGATGAGGAGTAACCCACCAAGGGCCAGGAAAACCCCGGCAGCCCAGCCCAGGTAGAGGGCATCTCCAAACTCCCAGCGAGGCATGATCTCAGGGACGCTGTTATCCCAGAAGTCTTGGATCGTGGCGTGGGCGACCCAGGAGACTGGAAAGAGGGTAGCAGCTGAAGCTGATACTTCCAAAGTCCCTCCCAGGAGGCAAAGCCGCCTCTTAAATACCCATCTGATCCTGTGAAACTGGAAGCATTCGGACCCACAGCCAGAGAGCAGGAGCCCCAGCAAGCCCAGCCCGTGGGAGGCTACCATGAGGATGCGGGATGCCTGCAGCTCCCGGGGCAGAGTCAAGAAGGACTCCAAGGCCTTGCACACGGCAACTTCCTCCTGATTCACGCAGACCTCCCAAAGCCCCATGACCCAGGTCTCCATTTCGTTCAGTTCCAGATTGAGAGTCTTCCACTGGGGCAGGATGGTGGTGACACAGGAGCAGACCCAGCCAAGGAGAGAGAGGAGCAGTCCCCCAAGCTGGGCTTTCCCGTGCAAGCTCCAGGCCATAGCTGCTCCCACCTCGGAGGCAGAAAGTGAAGGACAGGTGGCTGGGTGACTGGTTAGCAGGCAGCACTCTGGGGGAGACCCAGTGGAAGGTCTCTGACATTCGGAGGGGGCTCTTGTTTCAGTTTGTAGGCAGCAGCTGAGGCAGGTGCCAGGAGCTTGGCAACATTGGGTTTAGGGGGTGTGTCCAAGATCGGGTGTGGGCATGGGTTCTGGGGGAGGGTCCCATGAGAGGCAAAAGAAAGCTAGAGAGTAAGCCATCAGGATCGATTTGACCAGTAAGTTCACAAACTTGAAGTTAAAAATCACTCCCCAGGTCCGAGAGGATGAGAATGGTGTTTTGGCAATATACACTGAGAAGATCTTTCTGGAGGGCAACATGACTTCACATTCCATACTTTTTTTTTTTTGAGAGTGAGAGAGAGCAAGTGAGAGAGAGGGCAGAGTGAGTGAGACATAAAGAGTGAGAGAGAGAGAGAGAGAGAGAGAGAGAAGTGGGGCTCACCCAAAGCAGAGTTCAAGTTCACCCTAAATAGGACTCGAACTCATGAACCGTGAGATCGTTACCCGTGAGATCATGACCTGAACCGAAGTCAGATGCTTAAAGAATGAGACACCCAGGCCCCCGGAATCTCATACTTTTAAATACACACATACTTTGACCCAGCACCTTACCTCCAGGAACTTACCCCAAATTATTGTGAATATATACAAAGATTTATAAAAACGTCCACTGACACATCATTAATGATTGCACGCTTCGATTAGCACTAGGTAGCGGTTAGAAAGTGATGTAGAAGAAATGTCAATGACATGGAGAATATTTTTGATTCATCGTTAAGAAAGGCCAGCACGTGACCAGTTTTTAGTTTCCTGTTTGTGCTTGTCTGTGTGTTTTATGCATTTGATAAGTTTCCCCTGTAATATTTTTGTAAGCAGAAAAAAATGGAACATGCCCCATCCAAGGAGTCTGTGCAGACGCAGAACATACTGAGGGGGAAGCGCTCTCTTCCCAGTCTACTGCTGAACGGCACCAGCTAGAACGGGTGGTGGTCTTGGCAGCGTCCATGGTCCTATTTGCTGCTGCGAAGAGGCCAGTTCTGACAGAAAAGGAGGTAATTTGCATTTACTGAGGATGGCTACGTGCCAGTCTGTTGACGAGATACTTTATCCTTATTTAATTTTCACACCACCACGGAGAGATACATGGTAGGTAACTTGCCAAGGCCCCCCAGCTGGTAAGCAACAGACCCAGCTCCTGAGCCAGGGGGCTCAGAGGGTGACACTTCAGGTTCCCGTCTCCAGGCTGCAAGTGTGACTCCTCCTGCGCTGTGATACACTGGTGACACAGCCTGTGGGGTGGGGGGTTAATCTGTATGGCAACACCCAGAAAAAAAATTGGGATTTCTTTTTTTTTTTTTAAGTTTACTTATTTATTTTGAGAGAGACAGAGACAGAGTGAGTGGGGGAGGGGCAGAGAGGGAGAGAGAGAAAATCCCAAGCAGGCTCCGTGCTGTCAGTGCAGAGCCTGGCACAGGGCTTGAACCCACAAACTGAGATCATGACCTGAGCCCAAACCAAGAGTCGGATGCTTAACCAACTGAGCCACCCAGGTGCCCCGAAAATTGGGATTTCTTATAATGAAGACATAAGTGTTGACCAATGTATTTCCCTATTCATATTTTAACCCACTGATCGCCCTGTGGTGCACTAGGAAGCAGAGGTGTTGCCTGGGTGCGGGGGGAGCAGGGGTGAGGACCTAAGGAAGCACCTCCTTGACTTTACCTGAAAGATGTCTCAGTACAGTCTGACCGGATTACCAGCGGCGTGGGGGCGGAGGGAGGTGAGCAGAACCATCCTGAAGGCTCTCTTTTTCTTTCATGGTTTGTTATAGAAAATGTCAAACACATACAAAAGTAGAGCAGATGGGTAAGAGATTTCATGTCCTGCCACCCGGCTTCAGAAACGGTCCCTACACGCCAATCTTATTCTATCCATACCCGCGTGCACCATCCACATCCCTCCCTTCACCGTTTTGAAGCCAATGGGGTGCTGTTTCAAGTCGCAGGCTCCTTCTGCTGCTTTGGTAACGACCGCATGTTCTAATCAACACAATGGCAAAATATTATGCATCCCAGGAAACGCTGCCTGCTTGTGCTATGTTCATCCAGATTTGTGTCTGATGTTTCGCTTCTTGACCACAGGCCTGCCCCACGTTGTATAAGCTCTGACGGCACAGGAGGGATTCTCTCGGACGCTGCTCCTTCTTTCTTTGCCTTTTCCTCAGAGCCCTTGCGTGATGATTTGTGAAAATCTGCGACTTGGGAGGGGCGCCTGGGTGGCTTAGTCGGTTAAGCGTCCGACTTTCGCTGAGGTCATGATCTCGCGGTTCATGGGTTCGAGCCCCGCGTCGGGCTCTGTGCTGACTGCCAGCTCAGAGCCTGGAGCCTATTTCAGAGTCTGTGTCTCCCTCTCTCTCTGACCCTCCCCTGCTCACGCTGTCTCTCTCTCTCTCTCTCTCCTAGAAATAAAATAAAAATTAAAAAAAAAAATCTGCGACTTGGGAGACACGTAAACCATGGTAGGTGTGAACCAGGTAGGAGGTCAGGTTGGTGAGGCAAAACACCATTCGTGTTATTCATTTCTTTTTACTTATGCAAATATTCACTCATGCCTGCATGCATCGACTGTATAAAGCAATCCCGCTCCATTCCCTACGTTCTTTCTTCTCCTTCCTCAGCCTAACTCTGGCTCTCCCCTGAAAACTTGAGAAACGGTGTGCCACTTATCTGGTGGCCTCTCGACCCAGGTCGAGGTGGAGCTCTGCAGTGGCATTTGTGGGTATGACCCAGGGATTCGTTTCCTGGAGAAGACCCCAGAAGCTCAACCTCAAAGTGGCACCTCCTTCCATTCTCAGTTCAGATTCCTCCTTACTGTGAACCTTTCCTGGTTCGGGTAGAGCCGGGGTGCTTCTCCTCCAACATTTCCTCTACTCTGTACCTTCCTCAGAGGTGGCTTTAGCGTCAGGGCCTGTTACTTGCTCACGCCCCTTCTAAGGCCTGTACTCCGAATTTTGTATTTATTCTATATTCTTTTCCTTAAACGGCCCTCTCCATCTCAGCAACTGATAAGATCCAGGCCCCACAAAATCTGGATCAGTCCCTCATTTACCTTCAAGATGGCAATGATAATATTTCCTGGGATTCTTCATTTACACATTTTGGATTCCCAGCCTAGCCCAATGTCTGTCATACAGTAGTTGCTCAGTAAATATATAATACAAGTTTTCAGGAAGGTCATGTGCAGGTCCTTCTTTCTCACAGGACATTTCGTAGTAATAGCCTTTCGAATTCAAAGTGAGGCTCACAGGTCTACCTAACAGAAGTTGAGTTGGTTTTGTACAGAAAGATGCCTTCCGAGTATGTTAGGCTGACTTTTGTGCTTTCTGTTCAGCCTGTTTCATTTCCTTTGCTCACGTCACAGGAAGCTGCCCTTGTCTCGCTGGGATAAGCGGGTTGTCTTATAGACACTTAAAATTGACCAGGACCTTAACATCAGCATCTACTTGGGGTCAGCCTTCGCAAGGAACTATTTTAAAAAATTAAATATGACATTAAAAATGTTTTTAATGTTTATTTATGTTTAAGAGACAGAGCGAGGCAGAGCACAAGCAGGGGAGGGACAGAGAGAAGAGACACAGAATCCTAAGTACGGTCCAGGCTCCAAGCTGTCAGCCCAGAGCCCGATGCAGGGCTCAAATTCACGAAGCCCGAGATCATGACCTGAGGCAAAGTTGGATGCTTAACTGATGGAGCCACCCAGGTATCCCTAAAGATGACATTTTAATCAAAGCAGTACATGTTTATTACAGAAAAATAGGAAAACATAGCAAGATAATAAATCCCACACGTCTGCCACTAATTTGGTATACATCTTTTATCTCTGTATATTATCTGTATCTATTTATTTTAAAAAACAATCACAGTGTACAAAGTATATTGTGGACATCTTTCTGTATATAACACGGTTAAATAATGAAACAACTTTTTAAAACTTCTGATAAAGTTGATTTATTAACTTCTGATACAAAGTGTTAGTGGCGCCTGGGTGGCTCTGTCCCTTAAGCATCTGACTTTAGCTCAGGTCATGATCTTATGGTTCATAAGTTTAAGCCCTGCATCGGGGCTGCATGCTGACAGTGCAGAGGCTGCTTGATTCTCTCTCTCTGTCTCTCTCTGCCCCTCCTTCTCTCTCAAAATAAATAAACATTAAAAAAAATGTTAAGTATATTGTTCTAGTCCACACAGTACTAATGTCATTTATACTTAGGTAATATAAATAATATAAACCATATAAATATGTAATGTATTATTACGTAGATATAATACATATTTGTTACATGACGTAGTATATATGTAATATATGCACATAGATATATATGATGTAATATATGTACATAGATTGCATTGTAAACTGCAACATAAAAAGTGTGCAACTTAGCCAGACTTTTAGTTATGAGATGACGCCACTTCGTTTGCACAACTCCAGAGGGCACTACTCACATAGACTCTGACGGCCGCTGCAGTCCTTGAAAGTGGATATTCAACGAAAAAAGACGGGGCTGGGTTCGTCCGATATTCCAGCTCGTTAAGTGTCACAGGTGAGCGTTTTGAAGTTGAGAAAGGTTCATTTAGGACTGATTTTTTTTTTTAAAGTAAAAACACTTCATTTCGTCTATCGAGAAACAGGCGGGAAGAGACAAGCAGTTTGAAAACAGCTGGGGAGGGAAACGCGTCTCCCCTGGTTTGCCAGCTACGGGACACCGTGGAACTTCCACGCTAGGACTGTCGCTGTGCCTGCTGGGAGTTGTAGTGCGGCCTCGCCTTCCGAGCGGCGGTCTGGGCCGCGCGGGACTCAGTTTCCCGGCAGGCCGCGCGCCAACGCCGCCGGCGGCCGCGGGACTAGAACTGCCGCGCTGGCCCCGGGAGAGTCACCCTGTCCGCGTTGGTTGCAGAAGTGGCGATGGCTTCGTTCGTGACAGAGGTTCTGGCACACTCGGGGAGGCTGGAAAAGGAGGATCTGGGCACTCGGATCAGCCGCCTGACCCGGCAGGTGGAGGAGATCAAGGTGAAGGCCCGGCGGCCGGGGACCGACTGAAAAGGGACCCGGGTCCATTTGTGGAGGGACCCGGAAAGGAGTCGGGGCTGAAGGGCAGACAGAGTGGGTACGAGCAGAGTCAGGCGGGGGTGCCGAGTGGGAAGAATGTGAAATGAGAGGGCTGGGAGTGTTTGGGTTGACGAGGGAGCTCCGGGGGGAGCCCAGACCGGGGCCGGGGCGGGGGGTTAGGTTGGGGAGGGTGGGGGCGGGGGCGGGGGATTTGGCTGAAGACTGAGAAGACCAGCCTGAGAGGTGGGACTGCAGACCCCGACGTGTCTAGGGGGGGAGCAGCTGGGAGGGACAGAAATGCGGCTGGACCCCCTCCGGGATCTGTGTTTCTCTCCACTTCCTCTTTTTTGTAGAGGTGTTGATGAATATAATAGCCTTGGGAGAATGGTACCATTCTCCTCTCTGAAATTTTTGTTGTTCAGATCTATCAACGTGTTTATTAAACTCTGTTCTTTACCCCCAAGAGCTTTGAGGCTGTTCTGAGTGTTATAGAACTTGTAAAGAGCACTTAAGTGGCCCCTGCTGTCTTGACATTGATACAGACACAAAAAGCAATAGCCATCCATCCACAGTTTTGGCTTGGTATTGCTGTCCTTACCTTTCCAGTACTTACGCACATCTCTGTTGGAATCACTTAAAATTATGTGTGCCCGCCCGTGTTAAGTCTGGATTTAAGGGAGCAAGTTTGGCACCCTGTCATAAAGGCACAAGAATAGGTTTCCCTAAGAACCCTTGATTTCATTAAAATGGCTTCCTGAATTCAAGAAGCATTCATGTTGTTCACATCTCTTCTTTTACACGGCTCTAGGGTTTTTCACCACTTTTTATATGGTGGAAAGACTATTAAGCTGCCTTAGCACGGCACCTAGGGCTCCCACCGCTCTGGATCTCACTGTCCTTTTACTAGGTTTCCTTTACCAACGTGAATCTTCCGCCAACTGACAATTACTTCTTGTGCTCCAAGCAGACCCAGTATTATTCCTGGTTCCCAGATTTTGTTTGTCATTTCTCCGTCTTTGCCTGTAGTATTTCCATCCATTTTTCACCTTCCATCTCATATGTAGTTTCCTGCGTGAAAAACATCCCCATTTTCCTCCAGCAGCGGCGATCTCTTTCTCATTTGTGTTTCCGGAGGACGTTAACTCTGTTCTTTAATTACATTTTCCTGTTCTGGTGACCTAAGTGTATAGTATCTTTCCTACTTAAAAATAAGTTATTTGTAAGCAGGCATAACTTATCTTGGTATCTTCCAAAGCATTCAGTGATTTTTTGATTGATGAACCTCAAATTAAATTAGACCTTTAAGATCAGGCCTTAAAGCTTTATAAGCAAGAAGTTAGAGATTTATAAATTGAAGTGTACAGATTATGAATTTAATTTGTCCATTTGCTTTTCTGTTAGCTATATGATTAAAGTTGGCGGCTATAGTCTGAGCTAATCTAGTTCAATATGAAAACTTAAGGCTCCCCTTTTTCTAGCATTTGTACAGCTTTTGGGCACTGGGGAATTTGGTGATTGCTGTCTTCTTGGGTCTAATAATGTTATAGGATCCTTAAGGGTGAGAGAAATGTGTTTTTCAAAGAAACCCATTGGCTCAGAGGAATAGTGAGGGCGTGTGAGTAACTGGCAGGAAGGTTCCAACATGGAGGATTCCTTATGGAAGACGAGCTGTGTATTTTTAATAGCGTTCTCCACTCCTCTCACTGTACTATTTCTGTCTTATTTTATAGGGTGAGGTGTGCACTCTGATCAGCAAGAAGTACAGCGAATTCCTGCCTAGCATGCAGAGTGCACAGGACCTGGTGACCCAAGTGGATAAGCTGTCTGAGGACATTGACCAGCTGAAATCCAGAATAGAGAGTGAGGTAAGCATAGTTTGTTATATTGGTTAGGTTTGTAGGATGGTAGTTCAGCGTCCTGGTTCCTAAGACAATTCAGTTCTGTGGATAAATTTTTAAGACCTCACTTTCCTTATTGGTAAATGGAAATTGCTGTAGATAATTTGAGGGTAACTGCCAATTTTAAAATAGAAATATTTTCTAAAACTATCACTTAAACAATTTTCATAGTAAAAATTTAAAGCTATAATAATAATGTCTTGCATTTGAATAGCACTTTATAAATGAAAAAAATAATCTCAGAATTTTATAGTCTTCAGAATGAAATAAAAACAGATAAAGCTTAAAAATGGGTCATTTGGCCTTTTCTTTTGTCTCCTTTTAGCTTAAAATGTTATCATCTCGCTCTCTTTTAATTGAACATTTTTAATTTAATTTTATTTTTTAATGCTTTTTATTTATTTTTTGAGAGAGACAGTGCAAGGAGGGGAGGGACAGAGAGAGAGGGAGAGATAGAATCTGAAACAGGCTCCAGGCTCTGAGCTAGCTATCAGCACAGAGCCCAACATGGGGCTCGAACCCACGAATCGTGAGATCATGACCTGAGCTGAAGTCGGACGCTCAACCGAGCCACCCAGGCTCCCCCCAAATTTTTCTTGTAGAGAGTGCACTCACATGTCAGTGGGGGAGAGGGTCAGAGGGAGAGAGAGAGAATCCCAAGCAGGCGCCACACGCAGTGTGGAGCCCAACACGGGGCTCAATCCCATGACCTACACAGTCCCACGGCCCTCAGGTCATAGTCAAGGGTCTGGCGCTCAACCGACTGAGCCACGGAGGCATCCCAGAATGCTCAAACCTGTTAATGGCCAGTGTTCTCTTACATCTGTAGCTAGCAGCCACACTTTTCCGGCCTCGGCATGATCTTGGTCACTTAGCTTTACCCTGTAGAATTGGCTCGATTTGCCAATTACAAACACTCTGCTTCCTGTCATAAAGCCACTTTATCTGGATGCAGAGAGAATCCTTGCCTGTCTCATAATGGGTTACTGTAGGGCCAGTGCTTGCTGTGCTGCTTCTGGAAGGTCTGGTGGGGTTTACGAATGCTCACCATGTTTGCCGGAATGCTGTCATCCCAAAAGAGGAAAGCCGGTCTGCAAACAAAAATAGCCACTTTATAATTTTAAAAGCATTTGTCCACGTATATTATTTCACCAGAATTTTTTCCCCTGTCTTTTAGTTTTAGGAAACATAGTCATTTGAGGGAAGGAAAGCTGTCCCTAGAGGTTTTAACAGGTGTGAGTTAGAGGCCTTCTACATCTATTGCCAAATTGTTGGGCAGGGCTCGTCGATACCCCAGATTAAGCTGGTGAAGTGTTTTCAAGGTATCAAGGAAAGACACCCAGGTCTATTCTCTATATGATAGTTACTGAAGAGGGAGAGTGAGCAGAAGTGTTTTTCAGAAGTTCTGTAGAAAATTTTAATCACAAACGGGAAAACTGCTGGTTACCTAGAAACTCTGTTTTACAGCCAGTTCATCGATCATGATGATTAGAGGTTTTAGTAAGCATAAATCTGTTACTCTACAACTCTGTCGCAGTTCAAGTAATAGTTTCAAGGTGTATTTGTAATTAGTTGATTGATCAGTGAGTCAATGGCGCGGTCTTAGACTGCACTCTTACGGATGCAGTGTCTGGAACAGGAGGGTCATGGACTGTCCGTATGCTTGGCCAGCCAGATTGTGGTTGGTGGGATTTATTCAGTTCTGGTTATTGTATTTTGAAAGGTGCTCAGTCTGCATGAGAAGGTCCATGCTTAAACGTTGTATCGTCAGAAGGACATTGAAAGAAACTAAGGTAGACTAGGTAGATATGAACAGAGATTTATTCAGTCATTGGTATATTTATTGAGCCATCTGCAAGGTGTGAAATACTGTGGTCGCTGCTGAACAAGACAGTTTTTTATTTCAGTACGCGAATCTCCTGGCTAATGTAGATGACTAAAGTAGTATGATACACGTTAAGTAGAAATAATTCACTTAGGGAAATACAGCCCATCTTGGCTTCTCGTAGGAAATAGTATCAGACCCAAACCTGCAGTGCTTGGTAGTGAGACAGAGGGAAGGAGTGTTTGAGGTGGACACAGGAAGCAGCGTTGCAGAAGCATGGATGTCACGGAGAGGTGTCGCTTTGGGAGGGCTCTGGCGATTCCACATGGCCCATGTCTAGACACTGTGGTGGGAAGGGACACAAGATGAGAAGAGCAAGGTAAGCAAGGACCTTGTATATCAGGTTAAGCGCTATGGACATTATCTTGATGGCACTGTGGAAGCCATGGAGGATTTTAAGCAGAGTAATGACATCGGGTTTGGATTTTAGGAATCCCATTCTGCTTGCAGTTTGAAGAAAGGACTTGAGGAAAATGAGAGTGACAAATGAGAAGGCTGTTAAAGCATTAGGGGGAGTTAAGCTAATCAGGGAGAAAGGTCAGTGGTGGCAGTGAAGGAGAAGAGGATGAGGATGAATCCTGGTGACATTTAACAGATAGGACATTTGGGACGTGACGTGAGGAGTGAAAGAGGGAGGAGTCAACGATAGTGGAGGTCATTGACATGTCCTTCACTGCAGTAGAGGATCTAGAGACGGAGTGGGTTTTGTGGCAGCCTGCGGGACATCCAGACAGAGCTGCACAGTTAGAGCGTATTAAGGCGAAGGCTTGACTTCTAAAAGAAATGAAAAGAGAGAGACAGACCTTGAAATGCAGTGGCTCCAATGGCTCTTTAATTGTAGGAGTTTAGGCTATACAGTCAAGAACTGTGAGGGGGGCTCAGATTTTAATCTACATGCACACTAGCTGGCCAGCCCCCCACAAGTTTTCATGGATGTTGTTAGAAGACGTGAGGCTCCTTGGGTGAGAGGTAAAAGACAGTGTATTACTCAGAGCAGCAGGCCGATTGTTAAGAGCCAAGAGAGGGCACGGAGGAGGCACATGTGTTTTCTTGACTCAGACTTGGAAATGGTGCACATCACTTCTGCCTCAGTTTCATTGGTGAGACCTCAGACATGGGGTCACACTCCGTTGCGAGAAGCTAGAATGTGTAGTCTCATGGAGTAGCCAGGTGCTCTTGCTGTGGGAGAGTGGGGAAGTGGATTTTAGATGCCACCCGTCCGTATACAAGTTTGGAGGTTAGAAAGGTGATGTGGACTTGAGGTAGGAGTCCTTAGACATTGAAGCCATGGGAAGGCATGAGATTGCCCAGAGAGAGAGCAGAGAGCACGGTTTCTCAACCTCAGCCCAGTTGATATGTGGGGCTGGATAGTTCTTTGGTGTGGCAGGCTGTCCTGTGCATTGTTGGGTATTTGGCAGTATCCCCGGCCTCTACTCACCAGATGCCAGTAGAACTCCCTCAATTGTGACAACCCAAAATATCTCTAGACATTGTCAAATGTCCCTGAATGGGAGTCGGGCAAAAAAAAAAAAAAAAAAAGATTATTATTTGAGAACCATTGGTTCAGAGTAGGAAGAAGGCCAGGGAAAGAGGAGTATCAATATGTGTGAAGTAGTCAGAGGGAAAATGTTCCCCAAAGAAAATGAATGGCCAGAGAACTCAAGAGAAAAGTCAGTGGAGAGTAATTTCAGGGAATTAAGGGAAAGAAGTAACTGTACTGACAGATAGTTAAACACTGATGATGTGTGCTTTGGATTTAGCAACAAGGAGTTGACTGGTGTTTGGGACACTATTTTGGAATAGTTTCGAATAGATCTGGATGGAAACCAGATCTCAGTGCGTTACAGAATGAATGAGAGGCGGGAAAGTAGAGGCCATGCGTATGGCTCACTCTTGAAAGAAGTTTGGTTTTATGAGAGGGAGAAGACAAATAAGGCAGCTACTGAGAAATGTAGGTGGTTGCCAAGGTGGAGGAAATTTTTCTCAAAGATGGGGGAAATTTCAGCATATTTCAACCTGAAGGAAGGAGGCTTGCACTTATGGGTATTCAGCCAATGTATATTTCATAAATGAAGAATGAACTAGGAAGAGGTAAAGGTACCGAAGGGAGGAAATCATTGATAGTGCAAAGGCCCTGAAAAGGCGGGACAGGGTGAGAGGTGGATTCTGATTCAACACAAAATCCTTCCACTAGAGCCGTCAGCTGTGGAATGAGTCGTCACCTGGCAGCGGGGGGGGGGGGGGGGGGGGGGAGGGGTGTCAACAGGGGTCCCCCTCTAGTCATCCAGGTGGATGAGCTCTCTGATGAAAAATACTGCTTAACTTAAGGATAGCTTCCTGGTATTGCTGCAGAGGATCATGGTTTGGACTAAGCGGACCACTTAAGATCTCTTCCTAATACATTCTGTGATTTTTATTTTTATTCCCCTCTTAACCAGCATTTAAATGTCAACACAAATTATGTTCACCTAAGAAAGCTTATTGATTAGCTACAAACGTTTTATTTCTTAGAGAACGTGCAGCCTAAAAGTACTTCTCTTTGATGTGGATTAGGTCCGCCGGGATCTTCATGTGTCAACTGCTGAATTTACAGATTTGAAGCAACAGCTGGAGAGAGACTCATTAGTTCTGAATTTGCTTAAACAGCTGCAACAGGTCAGTAAAACTCAACTCACACTTTAGGGTTTCAGGGGTGAGAAGATTACTTCTCTCCAGATAGTCTCATTGTTAAACGTGTATCATCCCCTGGTTCTAAGGTATTTTTTTCATATTTTAGAAACAAAAGCACATAGACTTGAAATAATAGGAGGTGTAAAATGAAATAGCTAATAACTGTGCTTATCTTTTCAGTTTTCTTCTGCTATTGAAGACTCTAATTGTGCATTAACAGAGAAAAAGTATGTCACTGCTGCTCGGTGTCTGGAAGAGGTAATTACACACTTTCTCCACAGTTTAAGCGATTAGTTCTCTTCTTGTTTTTAGTAAATTTTGTGTTCCGTGTGTGCTTTATCATTATACAAATATATTCTAATTGCCCCGAGTCCAGATGGAATGTCTAACAATGATTCCATTTCACTGCCAGGCACAGAAATGCTTGAAGTTACTAAAATCCAGAAAATGCTTTGACTTAAGAATGTTGAAATCTCTCAGCATGGAGCTCACGATACAGAAGCAGAACATACTCTATCACCTAGGAGAAGAGTGGCAGAAGCTGATTGTCTGGAAGTTCCCACCGTCAAAAGGTGCTGCTGACCTCAGGTGGACTGCTTTGCTTCATCTGCCTGAACCCGTGTGGCCTGAATGCCTTCTAAATATCTTATGTCGGTGGATGAGGAGGTTTCATTTATCGGTCTCCCGAGTCGGCACTGCATTCTCCTATCAAGCAGATTGCTTGTTAGGACCCACTCCTCCGGGTTCCTCAAGTGTCCTCACTTCACTTCCCTTACATCCCTTTCGCTGTCCCCATCATGAGGAGGGAGCGGAGAAGATTGGGTGGGTGGCACTCCTGTGATGACGGTGTGGTACAGGGGGTCCCAGCGGTCTGAGACCTCACAGAGTGTCCCCTGTTGTAGGCGCGCCCACTCCCAGCAGCCCTCATCCCCACAGTTTACCTTGGCTAGGAAGCTTTGAAAGGCCGTTCCACTGTTTTCTTTCTTGGTGAGGAAGGAAGACAGGGGGTCAGTGGGACAGGGGTTTGGCTCAATTTTTTTCAGTCCATGGCGAAAAAATAGGGGCAAAACCATGAGATAGGGGGTGCTTTATAAGATGAAGAAATAGGATGACTTTGGCCCTGGCTTTGATTTAGGCTGTTTGGCTTTTGGCCTCTCTGCTCACTTCTAGCTGGGAGCCTTCTTGGAAGTCTTGTTTACACAAAGTAAAACCTCGAGAGGAGATGTAAAGGACATGCCATTACACCTAGTATATTTTTCTAGTACTGAATCTTGAAAATTTTAGTTTGTTTCAAGGGAAGCTTCACAGTCCCTCCCACCCCCTGTCCCATATCCACGCGGGGCCTCTAACTTTATTTTATATGTATGTGTGTACATAGACACACACAAACATACAGGTATGTATTTCATACAAACAGAATATTTCATATTTTGAAGGAAGCAATCTAGAAAATGTGGGGTTCTATTTCCTAGAAGACTGTAAAATTAAGAGGAAATAGCAGGCGTGTTAATACTTTGTTGGAATACACCCTTCTTGTTAAACTTGTTAGGCTGTTCTCTGTACTAAGAAAGAACATTAAAGAGGAGATCTTAAGTGTGACCAGGACCTCACTTTTCATTCCTTACCTTCATTCAATTCATTTTTAATAAGCATTTGTTAGGCACATCATGTTGCTTATGCACTTAGTTTGAATATATCAAAAACAGTCATTTCCTGTTTTAAAGTGATGCCAAGGACATGGAGTGTCATAATTAAAATTTGGTCACAGGGGCGCCTGGGTGGCTCAGTCGGTTAAGCGTCCGACTTCGGCTCAGGTCATGATCTCACAGTTCATGAGTTCGAGCCCCACATCAGGCTCTATGCTGCCGTCATGGAGCCTGGAGCCTGCTTCGAGTTCTGTGTACCCCCCTCTCTCTGCCCCTCCCCCGCTCATGCTCTGTCTCTGTCTCTCCCTCAAAAAAAAACATTAAACAAAATAAAATTTGGTTACATTAGAAGTGTATTCTCATAAAACCACACACTGAGGGATCTCAGTAGAGAATGAGCTCTGAGGAGTGGAAGTGGGAATGTCTTGTATTACTGAGACAGCTGATGTTTTCCCCCTTTCTCTTAGATACCAGCAACGTGGAATCTTGTCTACAGACAGAACTTCATTTATGCATTGAACAATCTCAGAAAGAAGAGAAGACCCCTGGGCCGCCAATCAGTTCGGTGCTCTTGGCATTTTCTATTCTTGGGGAGCTACAAACGAAGCTTAAATCATTTGGTAAGGCATACCATGAGATCCCGGAAGGCTCAAGCGTTCAAGGACTGGCAGAGAAGTCCACAAAATAGTCTCTCCATAATATTGATGATGGATCTAGGGTTTGGCCTCATGGTTCATCAAATGGAATTCTCATAAAAATTACCCTTTTCCTTAAAGGCTTGGCTCCTTTCTTGTCTTTCCTTTTTTGCTTTTTTGTAAACAAGCTCTTGGCTTTTTATTTTACTGGACTTTTTTGAACAAATAAAGAACCCGAGGACAGTCTGGGAACCTTCCGCGGTAAAACCTGCAGTACGTAACAAGTGGTGTGTGATTTCACAGCATGTGTATTTTTATTGTTAGGTTCAAAGAGCTTTTTTGGTGGTGTGACATGCTTGCTTTTTAAAAGTTTCTTCCAGTGATTTCTGATGAGCGTTCATACAATTTTTCAGGTCAGATGCTGCTGAAGTATATCCTCAGGCCGCTGGCATCTTGCCCATCCCTTGATGCTGTGGTGGAAAGCCAGCCTCACATCATTGTTATTCGTTTTGAGTCTGTGATGACTGACTTGGAACATCCGTCACCTTCTGAAGTTTTTGCAAAGATCAGACTAGTACTGGAAGTGTTCCAGAAACACCTTCTCGGTATGTGCCCACATGGCAGCGCGCTCACATTTTTATGTTTGGGAAAAGTCAGTATTGGTTTTAAAAGTAAATACTATTTTAAGGGAGACAAACATGTGCCAAGGTGAATGTGTAGAGGATTGGAGGTAAGTAAATTATGCCATAGGAGTAAAGTTATTACCTTCTTATTTCCTGCTCTGCTTTACGGCTGTGTTCCTCGCCATATGGAGAGTAGGGTCACCAGGGGTACCCCAGATTCTGTACTTGTAAGCAGTACGGTATAGTTACTTAAATTCTGGGATATGCTTCTCCCACTAGACTTGTAACATCACATTTTGGGACTCTTGCTTTAATTATCGGCGGAGCAGAGATGAACCGCGTACTGCTTTACATATTTCGTGGGAAAATCTCCATTCATCTGATAGACACAAACTAGATTTAACGTGAGAAATAAATTACATTCCATCTCAGCCGGTTGGGTAGATCTTTATATAGTCGCAATCGAGATAGCCAGTTTCTGTATTGTTCTGAACAATTATTTTTAGTTGTCATACTGTTAAAAATAAAATGTTCTTCTGGTGTATTAATACTGTTGTTTTTTAGTTATTTGCCTTACCTTCTTTTTGCTTTTCTCAGTTGTCTTGCTGAATAGTCAAATCAAACAATCTGGATGTGGACAAAATACAAAAAAAAAAATGCTGGTATTGTTTATATGCCTTCCTGGCAGTCCTTTTGTTTATTTACATAAAATAATTTCTACGTAAAGCAAGGAAGGATTTGGTTCTAGCTTCAACAGTAGCAGAGAAGAAGAAAAAGTCTTAAGACTTGTGTAACAGAAGTCCAAGGTCGATCTCTTGTTCCTACACTTAGGGAACTAACACATAGCAATAAACAAGGTTGTAAACTATCCAGGGATTGGGAAGAACCAGAGATCTCTGATGCTTGAATCTCCTCTCTAACGCTCCCATCTGTGGATCACGTCACCAGCCTGAGTGCTGGTCGTGAGAGCAAGGTCGCTTCCTCTTGATGCATTCTGTTCTGTGTCTGGGCAACTGGAGTTTTATGGAATTTTTGTTGATGTCTTAAAAATCACATCTTCAGTATCTATAGTAAATACTACTGGCAAAACCTCCATTTTGCAAATTAAATCTGTAAGGTAGTTGTTTAAAAAATGGTTCAAAATACATCACTCTGTAATGTCCGCTTCACCGATGCTGTTTCTACCGTGTGGATAGAACACATCTAACTCCTCTTACACATGATGGACTTCTAAATTCCTTACGGTAGCTGTTGTTTCCCCTGTTTCTTACCACCAATATAAACATCCTTGGGTTTTTTGAATGACATAGTTTCAGGTTCTTCTTGTTTTCATTGCTCTTCTGTGAATATATTCCATTTCTTTGGTAGTCTCACTAAACTATGGTATTCAAAACAGAACAAAGTATTGTAGGTATAGCGTAAGCCACTTCAGACTAGTTTGCGAGCATTCATGTTCTAATGCTCAGTTCCATGCTTCTGTGAATATAGCCAAAGGCTTTTTTTAAAAAATATTTTAAATTTTTATTTACATTCTAGTTAGTTAAGATACAGTGCAATGTTGGTTTCAGGAGTAGAAGTCAGTGATTCGTCACTTACATACAACACCCAGTGCTCATCGTAACAAGTGCCCTCCATAGTACCCATCACCCGTCTAGCCCATCCCCCACCCAACTGCATCCATCAACCCTCAGATTGTTCTCTCTCTTTAAGAGTCTCTTATGGTTTGTTTCCTGTCTCTTCCCACCCTGCCATATGTTCATCTGTTTTGTTTCTTAAACTCTACATGTGAGCAAAATCGTATATTTGTCTTTCTTTGACTGACTTATTTCACTTAGCGTAATACCTCCACTTCCATCCACTTTTTTGCAAACGGCAAGATTGCATTCTTTTTGATGGCTGAGTAATATTCCAGTGTATGTATACACCACATCTTCTTTATCCATTCATCAGTGGGTGGATATCTGGGCTCTCACTGTAGTTTGGCTTTTGCTGATATGCTCTTATAAACATCAGAGTGTATGTATCCCTTTGAATCTGTATTTTTGTATCCTTTGGGTAAATAGTAGTGCAATTGCTGGGTTTTAGGATAGTTCTATTTTTAACTTTTTGAGGAACCTCCATACTGTTTTCCAGACCAGCTGTACCAGTTTGCATTCCCACCAACAGTGCAAGAGGGTTCCCCTTTTTCTGCACATCCTCGCCAACATCTTTTCCTGAGTTGTTAATGTTAGCCATTCTGACAGGTGTGAGGTGGTACCTCAGTGTGGTTTTGATTTGTATTTTCCTGATGAGGAGTGATATTGAGCATTTTTTCATGTGTCAGTTAGCCATCTGAATGTCTTCTTTGGAAATATCTGTTCATGTCTTCTGCCCCTTTTTTCACTGGATTATTTGTATTTTGGGTGTTGATTTTGATTAGTTCTTTATAGATTTTGGATACTAACCTTTTATCTGGTATGTCATTTGCAAATATCTTTTCTCATCCCGTCGGTTGCCTTTTAGTTTTGTTGATTTTTTCCTTTGCTGTGCAGAAGCTTTTTATCTTTATGAGGTTCCAGTAGTTCATTTTTGCTTTTGTTTCCCTTGCCTCCAGAGATGTGTCTAGTAAGAAGTTGCTGCAGCTGAGGTCAGAGTGTTGTTGTTCGTTTTCTTCTTTAGGATTTCAGAGGTTTCCTATTTTATATTTAGATCTTTTCATCATTTTGAATTTATTTTTGTGTACGATGTAAGAAAGTGGTCCAGGTTCATTCTCTGGCATGTTGCTGTCCAGTTTTCCCAGCATCATTTGCTGAAGAGACTGTCTTTTTTCCCCTTGGATATTCTTGGATATGCTTTATCAAAGATTATTTGGGTATGCTTTTGTGGGTCTATTTCTGGGGTTCTGTATTCTGTTCAATTTATCTAAAAGAAAAAAGAAAGGACCCAAATAAAGTCATGAATGAAAAAGGAGAGATCACAGTCAACACCACAGAAAACAAACCATAAAAGAGAATATTATGAGCAATCATGTGCCAACAAGTCGGGCAATCTGGAAGAAATGGATAAATTCCTAGAAATATATAAACTACCAAAACTGAAACAGGAAGAAATAGAAAATATGAACAGATCTATAGCCAGAAAAGAAATTGAATCAGTAATCAAAAGTCTCCCAACAAACAAGAATCCAGGGCCAGATGGCTTCCCAAGGGGAAATCTGCCAAACATTTAAAGAAGAATTAATAAATACCTATTCTTTTGAAGGTGTTCCAAACAATAGAAATGGAAGGAAAACTTCCTAACTCATTCTATGAGGCCAGCATTACTTTAATTCCACAACCAAAGACCCCACTAAAAAGGAGAATTACAGACCAATTTCCTTGATGAACAGGGATGCAAAAATTCTCAAGATACTAGCAAATCAAATCCAACAATACCTTGAGATAATTACTCACCATGATCAAGTGGGATTTATTCCTGGGCTGTAGGGCTGGTTCAATATCTGCAAATCAATCAATGTGATTCATCACTTCAATAAAAGAAAGGATAAGAACCACATGATCCTCTCAATAGATGCAAAAATAATCTTAAATATATAAAATTATGTATAAGGATATTTAATATTACCTATATTACTGAAATACTGGAAAGTATTTGAGCCATACTATGGTGCATTATGCCACCATGAAAAAGAAGTGAAGGAGAACTAGATCTGTTGACTGGGGAGATGGCCATGATCTACTTTGAAGTCATAAAAAAGTTAAGTGTAAAATCTGTGACATGAACCCTTTTTGTTGTTGGCATGAATCCTATTTATAAAAAAGAAAGCAGCCCCTTGTATGAGGATTGTGTTAGTTTGCTAACAAAGTGTCACAGTCTGTGTGGCTTAAACAACAGAAATTAATTTTTTCCCAGTTTTAGAGGCTCTAAGTGCCAAGATCAAGGTATTAGCAGATTTGGTTTCTCCTGAGCCCTCTCCCCTTGCCTTGCAGACATTCTTCTCACTTGTCTGTCCTCTGTTAAGCGCACATCCCTGGTGTTTCTTCCTTATAAGGCCACTCACTGGTCATATTGGGTAAGGGCCCCTCCCTTATGACCTCATTTAACCCCAGTTACCTCTTTAAGGCCAGGCCCTGTTTCCAAAGCCAGTCATGTTGGGGGTTAAGGCTTCAACATACGAATTGTGGGGTGAGGGGGAGTAAACAATTCTATATAGTTCAGTCCATTTCAAGTGTGTGTGCATTTGGCAATTGACGTATATATGTGTGTGTGTGTATATATGATTCACATATACATGTGTTTATTTGGCAATTCATATATAAATATATATAGTAAGAATGTAAGGGAGGAAGAAGACAAGCCAAACTTAACATTGGTCAACTTGGGTGTGGAGAGAGAAGCTTGTGGGTATGGAGAGGGAAAATTTGGCTTTTTCTTTATAAACCTTAGTGGTTTTAAGCTTGTCAGAATAAGCAAGTTATGCTTTTGCCATGAGGATTTTCTAGAAAATGTCAGGTACAGATTTTTACCAAGGAGCAGAAACTCTGAACATACAAATAACTGTAGAAGAAGTTTGAAAGGCTGTTAAAGACTTGCCTCTGAAAAGGCTACCGTCAGGCACAGAAAGTTTATGGCTAAAAATTCTGTGTATGCTTCAAATTATAGATAATCCCTATGTTAATCAAGCCTTTTTGGTCAGTAGAAAAAGATGAATATGTCCTACTTAATTTTTTAAAAGCCAGCATAAACTTAATACTAAAATGTAATAATGATAGTTTACACATAGAGAAAACACTATAAAATGATTTTATTTTTGGATTATAAATGCAAACATTTGCAAAGTATATTAAGTTAAAGCCAACAATACCATTAAAAAGTTTATTCCAGGAGTGCAAAGATGTTTAGCATAAGAAATCTATCAACTAGTTTATTATGTCAGCATACTAAAAGGGATTATATCATTAGATATGGAAAATATTATGATAAAATTCAGTACCCTTTCCTAATAAAAAACTAAGTAAAATAAGAATAGAGTACTTTTAATAGTGTGAAATATTTACGATATTTGCTGAAAACGTCTCTTAATATTGTCTATTTTATTACCTTTAAAAGAAAGCAGATTTTTTTGTTTTGCTTTGTGTTAGTAAAGTGCAGTTACCATTTATTGTGAAATTTGTGATGTATTTTTCTCCAGTCTCTCTTTTTTTTCCCTTTATTGTTTCAATGATTCTACTAGCCTTTGCATCTTCACTTAATCCTGCATCGGTAGTATGCCTTGTCCATAGTTATTTTTCTTAGAAAGATAATTATATTGTAATTAAAATAGTTCTTTCGATTTAATTGCCATTTACAGTTTATATAGGTATCACTGTAACTTGTGCCGTATGCATAAGTATCAGACAAACACCACAGTGTTACATTGGTGCATAGACAAAAACGATTGTACTGGAACGAGTCTGTTTACACCGAGTGGCTTGGCAGTGTGCATGTGCAGTGCTGGAGGTGGTAGGCGTGCCCGCCACGGGCACAGCAGGTGACAGTAGCTGACGTGTGTGGTGGTTCCAGTAAAGTGACATCTCAGCAGAACCACGAAGTTGTGTTTAACAGACAGTACACTCCTTCCTTTTTTTTTTTTTTTTACCTTAAAATTTTACTCAAATAATGTACAGAGGTCCTGTGTCCCTTGCCAACGTTTTCCCCTGTGTTAACATCCCTTGTGCCTGTGGTACGTCCCGTGTGGCTCTGGTACATCCCGTGTGGCTGTGGTGCGTCCCGTGTGGCTGTGGTGGGTCCCATGTGCCTGTGGTGGGTCCCGTGTGCCTGTGGTGGGTCCCGTGTGCCTGTGGTGCGTCCCGTGTGCCTGTGGTGGGTCCCGTGTGCCTGTGGTGGGTCCCGTGTGCCTGTGGTGCGTCCCGTGTGCCTGTGGTGGGTCCCGTGTGCCTGTGGTACACTGTCAGAACCAGCACGCTGCCCGTGGTCCCATTCACAGAGCATGTTCACATTTTACCGGTGTAACCTGCACTCGTTCGTGTGTGTGTGTGTGTGTGTGTGTGTGTGTGTGTGTGTGGTTCTGTGCAGTCTTATCACGTGTAGATCCATCCACGCAGCCACCCCCACAATCTGCTCTTGCCACTGGCGGCGCTGTGCTACCCCTTTATAGTCACACACCCTTGCTTCCATTTTTAAACTGAAATTGAAATCAATTAAATTAAAAAAAAATTGCATTCCTCAGTCCCTCCACATTTCAAGTGCTCAGCAGCAAAATGTGGCTGGTGGCTGTCATACGGGGCAGGGCAGGCCTAGACTGTAGACACTGTAAGGTTCTCAAGGCTCTGGGGTAATGTGCCCACTTTTAAGGTTCTTCTTCCCTAAGGTCTTCCTTGGTGAATCAGAACTAGGTTACAAATTGCTGGTCTCATTTATGGTTCCTCTTCTCTCTACATTGGTCCTTTATTCGTAACTATTATTTAATTAATTAATAGTATATTTTAAATATAACCCCATTAAAACATGTTGGAAAAAACCCACACGACATACTTTAGAGAGGTGTTGAGGTATTCTGTTTGCTAGACTGGATACTACGCCATAATGTTAGGTGTTTACTGAGATTTTACTTAGGATAAACACACAGATCCTAGGCAGAGGTGACAGAGGGTGTTTATTCATTATTAAAGCACTGGGATTTTGTCTTAAGTGAGTTTCAACTCGATACGCAGAGCTTGTGAGTGCTTGTCACATAAACAGATTGGTAGACGAGCGAATGACGATTACTGTACAGTGTAGATGGCCGAGTAGGGTGTTGTTGTGGAATACGGGCGGTAAAGCAGTGCAGACCCTTCAGCTGAGCAATGAGTAACGTAATAGCTGTACACCATGCTTTGTCCCACGCAGGCAGTTGAGACAGCTGTAGGATTATCTGTGCTGTTTTCTTCCCCACCATCCTAAAGTGAAAGAATTCTAGAAAACAATCCAGACTGTGACTGGCCGCTTGTTTGAAACGTTTCCTTTTGCTTCAGATTTACCTCTTGATACTGACCTAGAAGATGAAAAGACGACTGAGATCATTTTGGCTGAGCTGCTTGGTGACGTGATCTGGGAGGACTTGTCTGATTGCCTCATTAAACACTGTTTGGTGTATTCCATCCCGACCAACAGCAGCAAGTTACAGCAGTACGAAGAGGTGAGTGCGGACACCTGGGTACCTTTCGGTGTCTCTCATGTTTCCTGGGAGACCTTTTGCTCTTTAGAGATCTCTTTAAACAAATGATTAACAGGAAGTGGAAGCAGATTTTCCTACTGCTTCATTTCTCTCCAGGCTTTCTACCTTTGATTGGGAAGTAGGTTTTCATTTTAAGTATGTTTTATATACTTTGAAAAACAATTGTTCTTTTATACTTGTGTCAATAGCTATAGTAGCTACTGTGTGCCACTGTATTTTTTTGCTTCTTTTTAGCATTTCCACGAACGCTAAGAGAAATGTCTTCATTTTAGGGATCTTTGCTCTTTTACTAGGTAGAGTTAGAAATTTACGTTGAAGGTACTATTAGTGAATTTAAGGCTGGAAAACTATATAATATGTGTATACCTGCTAACTGCTGGTCTGTTCTAAAACTTAAATGACCAGCTGGTCCTTGTTATTTTTTGTACATTGGATTTGAAGTTTTGATATCAGAATGGAGTATGGGTATATAATTCTTTTTTTTCCCTGTGTCTGTCTTTCTCAGATCATACAGTCCACTGAAGAATTTGAAAATGCCCTAAAGGAGATGAGGTTTTTAAAAGGAGATACTACTGATTTGCTGAAATATGCCCGTAACATCAATTCGCACTTTGCTAACAAGAAGTGTCAGGATGTGATCGTGGCAGCTAGAACCCTAATGACCTCTGAGATTCACAACACTCTGAAGGTACTGGGGCTGTCGTGCGTTACATTGTGTTTAGGAAGCCGCTCCTTTCTGAGAGAAATCTGGCAGAATGGAAGAGCCACGAACACTGAGCTCACTGGGAGAAGTTACTCATCTTGTAAGATGAGTTCTCTCGTTCAGGTGGCCCTGCTCCCTGCCCCTTTCGTGGAATACTGTGGGGCCCAGAGAGGGTAGTGCACCCGAAAGCACTGTGCGCTTGAGAAGCCCATGTGGATTAATTACTGTTGTTGAAATTAGACAATATATCAACCTATGTAGATTTTTTCCTCAGCGTTATTACTTGAGTTTTCAGCACACAATTTTGTAACACATGTGATTGGGCTTCATGAAGTCCAGAGATTATACCCTATTGTGAACATGTTGACTTCATCTCTGAGGCTACGAGAGGCACTAGTTTTGAAGTCAAAATGATAAAAAAAAAAAAAAAAAAAGAATCTATTGTATCAACAGTTACCCGCAATTATTGGACTCTTTAATTGGCATTAAGAGTAATTTACCCCTTTGACCTTAGATAATTCTGTGTAGTTTCTTTTCTGTTTTTTTTTTTTTCATATTTTACACATATAAAATAATATTTGGTAATTGTAAGGTATTACTTAGATTAAAGTAAAACATAAACTCAAGTAGTCCCTTAATAGAAAATTCCTCAGCCGGTTTTCCCCTGTCACGGTGATGGGGACTAGGCTCTTCTTCCCTCCGTCCCTGCTTTTACCACATCCTCCCTTTTCCGTGAGGGTAGCCTGCTACTGTGTCCCCTCAGCAAAACCATTAATTAGCCACTTGAGGGGCACACATTTTAACACACTTCGAGGTATTTTGGGATTGTTAAGGAGCTGCGATCTGCTCCGTACCAGGAACTGTACTGTGGGGTCTTATTTATTTTTTTACATGAATATCACTTGATTACGTAACTCTTCGGCACAAAAGCCAGTGGCTGCCCATCCCCTGTAGAACAAGACCCAGGAGCCTTACAGCCGCCTCCACAGTTGTGCAGTCTGCACCGCCACTGCCCCTCTGGCCCCATCTCCTGTGACATGTTCTGACCCCGCGGCACGCACCCGGACTCCTTGCTGTGCCCTGATGTGCTGCGTCTAGTTGGTGGCAGAGCCCTCGAGTCTCTTTTTCCCTCTGCTGGGGACATTTTTTAAATCTCTCTCTCTTTTTTTAATGTTTATTTATTTTTGAGAGAAAGGGACAGAGAGAGAGCGAGGGGCAGAGAGAGAGGGAGACAAAGAATCTGAAGCAGGCTCCAGGCTCTGAGCTCGCAGCCTGATGCAGGGCTCGAACTCAAGGACTGCAAGATCATGACCTGAGCTGAAGTAACCGACTGAGCCACTGAGCGTCCCAGGTGCCCCTGGGAACATTGTTCCCACAGTTACCTAAGTGACTTACTGCTCTTCCTGGTAACTCTTATTAAAAGTGTGACCTCCTCCTTTTCCTGCACCCTTTCCTTCTTTGTTTTTCTTCATTATCTCTTATTATCTACAAACGTTCCATAGGAATTATTTGTTGTTTTTGGTCTCTAGTAGAAAATTAGCTCCGTGTGGACTTTTTCTTTTTTCCTTCCCCACTGTTTTGACTGCTGCTGTATCTCCACCACCACCAAAATACCAGTGCATGGTACTTAGTGCTGAGTAAGTATATGGCAGCTGAGTTAATATATGTCCCACTCTCCTGTCTCCTAACTCCTTGCTATAAATACGATTGTTACTGGATTGCTCTGTGACTCCAGGCTGAATCTTTTAACCTTGTTGGACCTCATTTTCCTCTTCTGTCATGTGACAGAATTGAAGCAGCTGGTCTCTGAGCTCCCTACTCAGCTCGTTCTGACATTCTGTACGACTGCATTATCTTCAGGGCGCTGGGGTGGCTCAGTCGGTTAATCATCTGACTTCGCCTCAGGTCATGATCTCATGGTTCGTGAGTTCGGGTCCCACACTGGGAGCCCGGAGCCTGCTTCGGATTCTGTGCCTCCCTCTCTCTCTCTGCCCCTCCACCACTCATTCTCTCTCTCTCAAAAATAAGTAAACATTTAAAACATTAAAAAAAAAAAAACAACAAAAAAACAACCTGCATTATCTTCAGGAACCCAAATCCTACTGGTGGCTTCCTCTAGGTCAGGGTTTCTCAGTAGTGGCACTGTTGACTCTCGGGACCAGGCCATTCTTTGCTGTGGGGGCTCTTTTGTAGGATGCTTAATAGCATCCCCAGCCTCTGCCCACTAGATGCCACTCGCCCGTCTCCCAGTTGTGACTCCAAAAATGTCTCCAGACGTTGCCAGATGTTCCCCAGAGGGCACAATTGTCCCTCCCGGTGAACCACTGCTCGCCTCCATCCTGGTTCTTCCCCTGGGCATCTGGGCCATGGGATTAGATCTCCTAAACTGCTCAGCTTTAAAGAGGCCCTCTGCCTTTTTCTACAAACTGTTTTCAGCTTAATTGCCTTTCATGGCCTTCATCTAAAGTGTCCCCACACAGCCGCTGCTGTGTACCCGCTGTCTTCCCCAGAGATGTGTTTCGTTGCTGATGCCCGTTCTGTGTGAACATTTTTGCCTGCCCGATACCAGGTTAGATCTCCCGCTCTTCCATCTGGGGCTCTCTCACTCTTCTCAAGAAGGCACCTGTTTTGAGTCGTCTGTATTTTGGGCCCATTATTGTTCAGACAAACATCAGCATCTTTTAATCATCTTTCTGATTATATTTTTCGTCTCCTTTCTAATCTGACTCATAAATTTGACTGCCAGTTCCCTGACATTTGTATTCTCATTTAAACCTCTATCTGAGGGAGATATTATCATATACCATTTTATACATTAGGAGGGCAGCTCTGGTGTTTAAACATTCGTCTGAGACTCGGAGCTTTTCCCAGGAGCAGCGTCGTGGGGAAGGCCCGTAGGCGTAGCAGGGCCGCTCTTGCCAGGGGCTCCTTACTGTTTGGTCCCTGTGGCATCTTTGGGAAGCAAGGTGTGAAGACCATTATTGTATAATTCCTTCACTTTACAGTGAGGAAATTGAGGTCTTGGAAGGTTAAATGACTTTGTTAAAAGTTAGGGTAAAAAATACTACAGATGTTTCCAGACTAGCAGCCTCATGTTCTTTCGTTTAGTCTTGATGAGACTAGGAGTTTTGATTCTTTATAAATGTTAGAGAAGCTTTTTTGGTTTTGGTTTGAAGCTTTGTTTCCTTTTGTATAGCGGAGGATATGCTAGCCTGCAGGGTTACTTCTTTGACTAAACCAACACATGTTTTCAGTGGGAAATAATTTAAGACAACAGAACACAAAATTATACGGTCTGCAATAATTTTTTTTTAATATTTTTATTTTGGGGAGAGAGAGAGGGAGAGTGAGGGAGGAGCGAGAGAGAGGGGGGGACAGAAGATCCAAAGCAGGCTCTGTGCTGACAGCAGCGAGCCCGCAGTGGGGCTTGGACTCAACGAACTGCAGAATCATGACCTGAGCCAGGTCGGATGCTTAACTGCCTGAGCCACGCTGGTGCCTCTGAGAAAGATGATTTTTGAAAGTCCTTTCATTTACCTGAATGAAATCTTGGGCCAGTTTCAGAGCTTTTTTCTTTCCACTAAGATTAAGAGTATGCAGAAGAAATGGAAGAATTGCACAGGAAAGGAGATTCTTTATTTCTTGTGACATGCTCTCACCCAAGATTGAGCAGCCATTAAAATACTGCTGTGTCAACTCAAATCCTTTGATTACTGTAGAGCCACAACTTTATTATTATTATTTTTTAAGTGTTTATTTATTTTGAGAGAGAGAGAGCGTGCCCAAGCAGGGGAGGGGCAGAGAGAGAGAGAAGGGGAGACAGAATCCCAAGCTGGCTCTGCAGCGTCAGCGCAGAGCCCGATGCAGGGCTTGATCCCACAAACCTTGTCCTGAGTGGAAACCAAGAGTCAGATGCCTATCTGACAGAGCCACCCAGGAACTCCTGTTGAGCTACAACTTTATCATCGTGCAAGCAACCATCTGATGCTTTTGTTTGAATTGTTCTGAGGAAGGTGCTTTTTCTGTGTTTTATGTTTCAATCTTAGATTACTCCTGATTCTAAGATAAGTGTGCCGGACCTACCCAGTCCTCAGAAGGATGACAAGTCAGAAGTACAGAAAATGTCCACCACTCAGTACAACGAGGTGGTGAATTTAGAGCCTGAAAATACATTGGATCGACATTCCTTTTCTTTGCCCACGTGCCGCATTAGCGAGTCAGTGAAGCAGTTAATGGAACTTGCCTATCAGACTTTAGTAGAGGCCACAACCAGCAGTGATCAGTGGTAAGAGTCCTAAAAATGGCAGTGACTTGGTTAAATGTGTGTCTAAACTAGACATTTATTAAGAAAATTAGCTGGAATTCTTTGGGTTTTCTTTATATACTCCTTTGGCAAAATACATTTAGGAGTAACTGTTTTGCCACTTGGCCTTCGCATGGCCATCATGTGAAGGAAATATACTAGACCAGAAGTTAAAGCTGCAAGGCAGTGTCTCCTACGTCTTTTGATAACACAGAACAGTAAACAATAGTTTGTATGTCACGTATCTGTACTCATTCTTTCCTCTAAAAGAAATAGTTTTGAACAGGACGTACAGAAACACCATTACATGACAACTCACTTCTCCATCACCAAACCCTGAATGGCAACATGAGGTTATCGTAGTAATCGAGTAGTAGTAACACTGTTTTGGGGTGTAGTAACCCTGACTCGTTTTTCTAAATCTTTGTGGAATTCCTTTGTATTCAAGGTACGTAGTTTAAGATGTTCTTATATGGAAGTAAGCTGTACAGACCTTATATTTGCTCAAGTGCATTTTAATAATAATCTTTAGGTATTCTAAGGCCAGATTTAAAGGGCAAAAAAAAATTGAGGTTAGAGTCTATCCTAGAAATGTTGATTCAACTCCTAGCATTGGAGTAAGAAGGAGAAAAGGTGAAAGCTGACAGTCAGACCGACTCAAAAAGAACCAAATGAATGCCTTTATGGACACCTTGCCCTTTGCAGAGTGCGTCCCTGAGTAGGTGACATTTGCTAGAGGCTTAGCTCCATTTGTTACTGAAGGGATGATCTGGGTACCGGCAGATTGATAATGGGAAAGAGGCTTTGGGTTAATGCTGCTCTTCTTGAAATTATTACCAGGTCCACGTTTTTAGAACTGCAGTCTAGTTAGTAAACACTGGTTGAAGATGTATTCCCATGTAGATGAATGGCGTTTTCAGTAATGACCAAGGCAGATGCTGAGGTGATGACTAATGTGTACTTGGTTTGAGTTTTTTTTCCCGTTGCCAATACCCTCATGCATTTCTGTTGAAACTGTTTTTCATTAGTGCCGTTCAACTTTTCTACTCGGTGAGGAATATCTTCCATTTGTTCCACGATGTCGTGCCAACATATCACAAGTAAGTGCCCCCGTGTCTGACTTGTGTGTGATAGTGTAGGTCTAAAGTGTTTGTAAGTTGGACTAAAATGGGTCATTTTATATTCCCACCAAAAACATTTTGGTTCCTAAAATCCACAATTAAATGCAATAAGCCATTAAAAAACATGTTTAAGGAATATTAGTCATTTGTTAGTAAGAGTCTAAACGTCTATATGTTTTAAAATTTCCCAGCTGACTCTAAACTGTAGCCAGTTTGAAAACTGGAGAATTAGAAGAGAGTTTAGTGGTTCATTACATACATGTAAAAGGAATTTGGAGGAAGGGCAGGAAGTCCCCACTTCCACACACTTGTCAGTGTCAGACTTCAAGGGCATTAGTATACTCAGCTCTGCTAGGCTGACATACAGAGGCGACTCAGGTCACTACTGGATTCCCTGGCTCGCTTTTTTGTGTTTGTCCCCGGGCCAGTCTTAGGGGATCAGGCCTCACTCAGGCGGGTTGCTGTCCCCGTGAACGGGGTGGGGGTGTTGAGGCCACGTCTCGTCACATAGTGACGTCTCCCCACTTGTGCGGGAGACGGTTCTTAAAGCCTGGAAGTGCCTTCAAAGGGAAGTAACTTTTCCTCCACCTCAGCTTCAGTAACTGGTGATTCTTTTTCTGCCCCTCCTGCTGGCCTAGGGAGAACCTGCAGAAGCTGCCACAGCTGGCCGCCATTCACCACAACAACTGTATGTACATTGCTCACCACCTACTGACCCTTGGGCATCAGTTCAGACAGCGCCTGGCGCCCGTTCTTTGTGATGGCACCGCCACCTTCGTGGATCTGGTCCCCGGCTTCAGGAGACTTGGTAACAGGATGCTTCACTTCAGGAAGCCGTACTGATGATGCAGCCCCTCGGCCTAGTCCCTTTGTAATTTGTGACAGAGGCGGCTAGAAATTGGGTGGTGGTCCTGAGCTGTACTGGGGAGTGGGAGAGTGTTTCGTTTGCACGGTTCCCGGTCATTTAATTTGCCGAAGTGAATGCAGTCTCCGTGGAAGTGTTACTTTTCCATGACACGACTTCATGGTACGCCAGAGTTCCATACTGCCTTGCTGGTGTGCGGTGAATTCACCAAATCAGAGTCACGTCAGTAGAGTGACACATAATGAGACTTGTATTGTGATAATTCCGCCAGTATTGTCGGTAGGAGCTTACTAACGTCAGTGTGTGTTCCTTACAAAACCTCAAGGTAGCTCCCCCTCTGCCACTCAGCTTTACTTGGGATTATTAAAACTCAAAGAAATGAAATGCGGAAGACGTCAATATGTTTACTATAAAGATAGCCTAAGAAAAGCGGAGGAGCCATATGATTCACTTAGCTTTCTACTTCCTGACTTGCCCCTTAGGTGGTGTTGATGTCGCCAAAAAATAAGTAGCTGCTTCTTTTGAATAAGGAGCATTTCTTCTCTGACCCTGGACACACTATCCGGAAAGACTTCCTATCCTGAGCATGGGTTTGTGGGCACTGGCTGACATATTAGAGGCGATCACGTCTAGGAAGCTCACGGCAGCTTTATGATGTTCTCTTGCAAGTGATAGTTTTCAAATAAGCGGGCCGATACGTGATTCATGCTCGTCCCTCTCCTCCCGCCCTGGCTGTGTACTGTGTCACTGAACAGCGGTGGTGGTTCTGTGTTCTGTTTCTTCACCACAGGGACAGAGTGTTTTCTGGCCCAGATGCGGGCGCAGAAAGGAGAACTTCTGGAAAGATTATCAAGTGCTAGAAATTTTTCCAACGTGGACGATGAGGAGAATTACTCTGCAGCATGCAAAGCGGTCCGGCAGGTGGGCAGCAGCTCCCAGCCCTGACGCTTGTACCCTTTCTGTAGGTGAGCCCCCCGGTCTTTAAGCAGCAAAGGACGTGCAGCAGGTAGCTCAGGTAACCCCCACACCCCCCATGGGAAATACGGGTACCTTCTGTGGGCACGTCTACAGCCTTCCCCTTTCCTTTTCCCCCGAGCCAACAGCAGGCTATCTTTCCATCCGCCCGGTAAGGTGGCCAGTTATTAATAAGTCCGTCAGAGCAAGGTTTTGACCCATGAACTTGAGTTTGGGAAATTTGAAACATTAGCTTTTACCTCAGTGCCCCTCTCTCTTACGTGATTTATCTTTTATTTTTTTTTTTTTAATGAGCAAATGGTTTTTATTTATTGACTTATTGAAGTTAGAACTAACATGCAGTGTTTCATCCGTTTCAGATTACGATACATTATAATTCCCAGTTCTGTGCGTTTCTCAGTGCTTCTGGTTTAGCTTCTCACAGTGGTTTTCCCATCCTCAGCATACGTTCTGCTTTTCCTCAAGCAGGGACCTCCACTAAGGATAAATAGTCAAGAAGCTCATATTTGTGATCACTTTCCCTCCCCTTCTTATAATGCCTCTGCTCCCGAGCACACACAGGTGATCTGCGTGAACGTAGGAAACAGGAGTTGCAAGCGTCTCTTCCGTGTCCATAGCTGTATTCTCCTGACAGGTTCTGCACCAGCTGAAGAGACTTGGGATTGTGTGGCAGGATGTCCTCCCGGTGAATATATATTGCAAGGCTATAGGGACTTTACTCAATACAGCAGTTTCCGAGATCATTGGCAGAATCACTGCTCTCGAGGTAAGGGCCGTTAGGTGCCCCGCCAGGCTTGCGATGGCCAATTCCTATCTCCGATTGTCACTTTACTAAGAAAATGATGTTGAAATCTCATTTTCAGTCAACGTAGGTGGTAGAAGAAATTGTGTTTTCTGTCTAACTCGTAGGGTTATTTTTTTTTTTTTTTGTCTTCATTCTGTTTTGCTGGCAACTTGCTAGTTTCTCTCCTTTATACTATACAAGAAAGTAGGACGATCCCTTCTTCTCCATCTCCATCTGTGTAAATTATGAATGAGGAGGCCGGAAACTGGGTAGTCCTTAGATGTGTTGTAAAGCATGAATCACGTATTTATTTAATTTGCAATTGAACCAGATAATTGAGTGAAGAGAAATGCAGCCTTCCGCAGGTGCCGCTTTTCTGGCATGCGGTTGTCGTTGGGATTATATACGTGAGCTTACAGGCAAGGTGCCTGGGCTCCGCCAGCTGGTGACTCTAAAGCATTGATTGACTGAATCCTTGTTTATAAAAATATTCCCTGCTTTACAGCAAGCGGTGCAACATTCTCCTGGATAAATGGGCTCTGTCAGGCAGGCACGCTAAATTATTGACAATCTGTTGAAACATATTTTGTGTCATTCTAGCTTCAGGAGTGTTGTCAGAGCTGATGAAATCTCATGTCTAATAAGGTGGGCTAAATTGGCTGGAAAACATCTTGCTGTAGCTGACCGCTTGAGCAGCATGCACTCCAAATTTGCCCTTTTCTTATGACTTCAGTGGCCCAATTCTACTTTGTGTTCCCTCTGTGCAAATCCAGGACATCTCTACTGAAGATGGTGATAGATTGTATTCCTTATGCAAAATGGTGGTGGATGAAGGGCCCCAAGTATTTGCACCTCTCTCAGAAGAAAGCAAGAACAAGAAATACCAAGAGGAGGTTCCGGTCTATGTGCCCAAATGGATGCCGTTCAAAGAGTTGATGATGATGTTACAAGCTAGCCTGCAAGAAATTGGGGATCGGTAGGTATTACCCTTTTATGGAGGCAGGTATCTCTCCAGAGATAGCTACAGAGTGTGAGCGCACTGAGAGCAGAGCTTTTTCTCTGTTTCTTAACCAGTTGCTGCTCAGGAAAGAGTTCCATATCCAGTGGCAGTAGTTGGGGCCTTTGCATGGGCGGTAATGTGTGGCTCCCGTTACTACTTTCCCCTGTTTGATGACAAGAAAGGCTTCTTGTTTCATATCATTTTGGTCTTGAACATAGTGTTTGGCATGCCGTACAGATGGTCTTTCATTTGTAAGAAGTACAGCCTCCTGACACCTGGATGGAAATCGTTTCCCGTTTTAACCAACAGTGGATACATTCTAAGATTGGCTTTGATTTGTTAACAGAGAAGTGACTTTTCCGTGTATGGGATATTCAGCATCAACCACCGTTTGATGGACCAGCAGTTTTTCTGCAGGGAGTACAGTGGTTTTAGAGATGAAGCATCGTACACATAGAGAGGATTCGTCTTGTCTTAAACGTGACGGTTGATGTTTTTCCCATCGGTTGACATTGCTATGTGCGGTAACTGTGTGCTTTATTGTATCATACTCAGTATGCAGAGGTCATTGATGCTGTACAAAAAGATTGATATGGGTGAGGTACACATTCATGGATGCTTTTATTATTGTCTTGGTAGATATTAATAATCAGGGTATCCATACCTGCATAGGGAATCCCAGCATAGACCGTCAGGTCCATCTTCATCCTTATAGCTGCTTGTCCGCCTGGGTTAGCTTAGTTCATTGGTGTATTACAGGGATCCCTTGTGTTAGATCACTCACCCCAGATGGGTCTGAGTTGTTCTCGGCAAATGTTGTCCATTCTAAAACACAGAAAGTGAGAGTGCTGCCTGGAAAAAGTCCCATCAAAATACTTCCAACCACGTTAGTACAAGATCTAATGTATTCGCTATTTACGAGTCCTTCGGGGGTAATCAGGTAAGACTCTAGAGGGCAGCAGGTAAGAAATTTTCTTTCTGCTGCTGCAGCCTAAAAATCATTCTTTGTGATGAGAACAGTTATAATACTGGTGTATCTTGGCTTCTTTTTTTTCTGCCTGGGAAGAATTTTTCTCTTAGAGGTTTCAGTAAACACAAGGATAGTAACTAATTGGGAACATTTTTTACTGAAGAAACTTATCTCCAGTGGTGTAGTTTAAGTGCTTTAAAAGCATAAAATATATATATGAAGGAATACAGTATATAACATATTTACAGTTAGAAGAAAACAAGTAAAAGGTTCCCGTACCTATGACCAAACGTAAGAAAAATATTGCCGATCCTGCGACGACCCCTGTGGTTCCCCTCTCCACATACTTGTCCCTGCAGACAGCCACTGTCTCGAATTTTGTGTTCCCTGTTTTCTTTCCTTCATAGTTTTGCCACATTTGCGCGTGTTTCTGAACAATGTAAAGTTTAGGCCTGCTCATGTTTGGACTTTGTGTAAACGGAAGTTTCTATAACTTGCTTCTTTTGGTCAATGCTGTGTTTCTGAAGTGGACTCATGACCATGTGCAGGGCTGCGTGCGTGTTTGTCTTCAGAGCCGTAGCGCATTCTGTTTTACAGGTACTTCATTATTCAGCCCGGTCGCTTCATAGTTTCACCAGTATTTGGTATTGTCAGACTTCACAGTTTGTGCTAACATAGTTAGTATGAAATGGTAGTTCGTCGTCATTGTAGTTTACATTTCCCTAAACTCTAAGGACATTGAACATCTTTTTATGGATCATTTGTTCTTCTTCTTTTGTAGTAAATTACCTGTTCACATTTTGCCCTTTATTCTGTGAGGTTGTTTGTGATTTCATTATTGATTCATGGGAGTTCCCTATGTATTTTTTATGCCAGTCCTTTGTTGGTTAAAATTTGTTGCCTGTGGCTCATTTTTTAAAACATGCACTGATCCCCAGACTCCATATAACCATGTGAGGATGTGGCCATAGTTTTCAAGTTCAAACTGGACTTAGTATAGAACATGTGAGGATGCAGCCATAGTTCTCAAGTTCAAACTGGACTTACTGAGTGTAGAACATGTGAGGATGCAGCCATAGTTCTCAAGTTCAAACTGGACTTAGTGTAGAACGTGTGAGGATGCGGCCATACTTCTCAAGTTCAAACTGGACTTACTGAGTATAGAATAAGGGGGAACAGTCTTACCTTCCTAACCTGATCTCTTCATCTGACTGCGCCGATACCAAAATGCAGCCATGAAGCAGAAGAACTTAAAGAGATTGAGTAGAGGATTCATAAAGAAGGAGAAGGATGCCAGCATTTGTTTTACTTCCATTTAAAACCAATCAGCATTTGGGGATCCAGTCCACAGTTTTAAACTCTTGCTTTTCCAGAGACATGGCAGGAAATAGAATTGTATCTTTTATTTTGCAGGTGGGCAGATGGAAAAGGGCCCCTGGCAGCTGCATTCTCTTCCACTGAAGTAAAAGCTTTAATCCGTGCCTTGTTCCAGAACACAGAAAGAAGAGCAGCTGCCCTCGCTAAGATTAAGTAGCTATATCCTCCCAGGAAAGCCATGTCTTGACTATTTGGATTCCTCTCTTGGCATACGTAATCCTTTAAAGACTTCTGGGGATCATCCGTTAGTTTTGGTGAACCAAGTACACTGTGGAAGTCTGATTTCACCTAAGACCGCCTTACCTCCTGGCTTGAATGAGGCTCTGTTGAAGAACTGGATGTTAAGATGAGCTGTCAAGTGAAGCACCTCAACTGGTTGACTTCCTAGCCGTCCGCCCTTAATAAGACACTGTAGGGCCGCACTGCTCCATGTTGCTGCTGGGCCTTCTGGGGACTGTGTCCTTTGTGAATGTATGGCCTGGCCTCTGGTCAGGGAATCCAGGGGATTCTAAGGGTCAGGGCAAAGAACCTGTGAGCAAATGCTAGATGTATTTTGGGGGACAGGGGAACTCTATTTGTCCTTGTAGGAATTGAGGAGACTTCCTTTAATATTTCTTTCCAATAAATAATGCATTTCAGAGTCAGGATGATTGCCTTTAATAACACGGTGAGCTTTGACAAAAGACACCAGCGAGGTTTCTTGTCTTCCGTGCCCTTCTTCTTATTGACACGTATGATCCTCACAGAGGACTCACTCACGTGTCATCTTCTTCCTTCTCTGAAGTCCTGGGATTCCTAGGACTTCCTTTCAGTGTACACTTTTGACACTTTTTGCTATTTCAACTAAATTCTATTTTCTTGGTTGGCTTTTTTTCGTTTCCACCTCCTTAAGCTCCCCTGTTTCTGTGTCCTATCAGATGGCAGAGGTTTTCAATGGATGACGTTCCGTCGGCGTGTATATACGCCCTGCGACCTAACTCTGGGCTCTGGAGCCCCGGCCGTTATTTGCCGGACGTAGATAATTCTTCAGCTCAACTTAATCTGTTTCTAGCTCTTTTCAGCCACTGGACGAATGTTTCCTGTCAAAGTCACCCTCGGCCTCTGCAGGACTCTGGAGTCCTTGATATTCTTCGTACTGAAATACAGTTTCCTCATGAAAAGAGGGCGAAGGGTGTGATTTTTAGGTGCCGTTGGGGTAGTTGGCTGCCTAGGGGAAGTTTTCAGTCCAGTGGGCATGCTTCCCAAGGCCTTGACCCCTTGATTCCTGGCACACAAGAACAATTATTTTTCCCCCCTCGGCTTCCAGTGTCGTGCCTTCACCCCCTCACTTCTGGCTCCGCCCCTTGTCATTCTGGTGACGTAGTGTTTCTTTTACCTACTAGAGGAGTCACAGGATGATGAATAAGAAAGAAGCCCGTTTCTGTTCTTAATAAGAGAAACTGGGTGGTTAACGGTAAGCTATTTGTCTATGCTGAGCAGGTCCTGCTATGGGAGCTCACAGAAACAAGGCCTGACCCCGCTTCAGTTTTTTGAGAACAAAGGCATGGTGTCTGCTGAACGAGAAGGCAGCCATTTTCACAGGTGAAAAAAATACCTGCTTTGGAAACTTGGCACAATTTCACGGAGCAGTCTTTTCTCAGCAGCCGAGAGAATGGGGAACTGAGGACAGAGCTGAAATAAATGCATCCCAGGACGATCACAGAATAGCAGGTTTCTTTTGTTCGTAGAAGCTATTCCGGTTGCTTGACAGGTACGGCAATTGGGGGTGGGATCTCTTGTAACTGAAAAGCGCTTCTCTTTCCCTCCTCTCAATAGCACAGAAAATTGCACTATAGTTCTCCTTATAGAGGCTGGCGGTGTCGACTGTGTCCCCTCACGGATGTTTGAATGCGGCGGCCCACAGAGCAGGCACACCGCATCTTCCTCCTGGGCCAGGGCCGTGGATGGCAAGCGATTAAGTGCGTGTCCGTTTTGGTGAGAGCGGAGCCGTCTGATCGAGGGCGTGGGAGTTGTGTTTTCTGGCAGCTCCCGCAGGGACCTTGAAGGTACGGGGTCTGATTGGGAACCGGAGCTGGAAGAGAGTTGAACCTTCTTCTGGAGAGAGCATGCAGGTGATGGGAGGAAGGGAACTTGAGGCCGCATTTCGCGGGCTCCGTGGGCCACCCAGAAGGAACCTCTTCCCGAATAACAGAACTATACGAATGGCTCCTAAGAATGAGACTCAAGGAAGGTTCCCCAAGCTTTAAGGAGGAAGGAAAGTTTTTGTTAAAAAGGCAAGACTGCAGACGACTTGAATCCGCTCAACTGTGGCTTCTGTCCCCGTGTGGATCATTGGGGACCTGGTCCACGGTCAGTTTTGCACGAAGACCTCTCTCTAAAAGGGAGACCCTCCAGATGGCACCCTTGCCTCAAGCCTGTGAGCACCACGAGGCAGCTGGTCTGGTCTGTGGACATTTTGCTCTAGGCTTATATGCTGTCCTGGGTCAGCCCACGACGGTCACCCAGACCCCGAGCAGCATCTGTACCGGAGGCTGCAAGATGGGCCGGAGCGATCACTTATGAATAGATGGAATGGTATTTCTTTTGATCAATGCCATTGTTAAAGAAGATCTTCTCACACTGGCAGATCCGTACACCATCAGTTAAGGCCATGACTCCCAGGCTTTCATTCTGTGGCCTATTTGATTTCCCAAGATTTTGCCCATCTGAAAGTTCTGACGTGTATGCACACACACACATACACACTATAGTTTTGTCATAAGGAAACCAGCCCCAGGAAGCCTCCCCCAGCACCACAGCTGCTTTGTGCCCTGGATACACGAAGCTGTGTATAGGAGTAGTCTTGTGAAGGGAGATAACTCTAAAGGCAGGAAGTGGAGAAAGCTATTGGAGATGATCCGAGCACTCTTAAAACTGGGTTTTGGTGCCCACATTCTTCCTAATCATAGACTTGATTTTTGAACACTTGTTTTGTGATGACTTCCTCCTAAAAATAACAGTGTGGTAAAAGCCTGAAATCTCCTGAAAGCTACGAAGCCCCAGTTTTGAGTTGTTCAATTACCATATGGTTTAGACCGAATTCGTCACTTTGTTATGAGCTTGGTGAAGAATTTTGTGATGGCACGCGATGTAACCAGGGACTGGCCCTAGATGCCTCAACGCCAAGTTATGAAACCTCTGCCTGGAGGTTGGGAGGAGGGCAATAAACTTGATGAGCTATGTTTGAGTTCTTCACACCTCCTCAGAAATCAGGTGCCCTAGATTTCTTGTTTGGTGTGAAAGAGCACCGTGGGTGGGGGGACCTAGTACCCCTGGCCCCCTCTCAGTTTCCTGTGCAGTTTTAAAACTTGCTGCGTTCATTTCCCCCTTCATTCCACTTATGTTTACTGGGTGCCAGGGGTCGCCCCAGTCACTGAACAAGCCCCCCTCCAAACAAAAATGTCCTGTCTCTCTGGCGATTTAAATTCTAGTGATGAAGACAGGTAATAAACATTAAGTACATTAGGTAGTATGTCTGAAGATTTTAGATGCTGTGGAAAAAATAAATGTAGAGTGAACTCCACCAGAGTCCCAGAGGAAGGGGAAAGGGGGAGGGAGCTACCTTTCCAAACGGAGTGGGCAGGGTACATCTTCTGAGATGATGAGTAAGTAAGCTGGGTGGCTCCAGGATGCAGGTGGTTCTAAGCAGAGACCAGCCCTTGCAGAGCCCTCAAGTGGGAGAAGTGTGCCTGGTGCCTGGTGAACTCAAGGAGTAGGAGGGGCCAGGGGAGAGTAGGAGGCAGGGAGGTTAGCAAAGTAACAGGAGAAGGTAAGATTGTGTAGGCCATTATAAGGATTTGGGTGGTCCCCCCCCCTTTTTTTAATGCTTATTTATTTTTGAGAGACAAAGTGCAAGCAGGGGAGGGACAGAGAGAAAAGGAGACACAGAATCCGAAGCAGGCTCCAGGTTCTGAGCTGTTAGCACAGAGCCCAATGCAGGGCTCGAACTCACAAGCTGTGAGATCATGAGCTGAGCCGAAGTTGGATGCTTAACCCACTGAGCCACCCGGGCACCCTATCCCCCTCTTTTTAGTTAAGTAAATGGAAAAGTTTAGTAGCTTAAAAAAAAAAAAAGATGGGGAGGGGAGCATATATAAAAGTATAGAAAATATGGTAAAGCCGTAGGTACCCATCACCCATCTTCAACAATTATGATCACATAGACAGTACAGCAGCTCTGATCATCTGTGCCCCTCCGTCCTTCTTGCTCCCACAAACACACTGAGCATAGAAGCAAATGCCAGATGGCCGATCATTTCAAACCCAGGGCTCATTCCTGTGTAACGTCTGACTCGTTTCCTTTGAAGCTTTTTCCGTTTGCATCCTTTTGGCCCTCGCCAGTCCCCCCTCTCCTCTGCCGGCAAGCGGGTCCTCCACCCACCCGCTACCCTCCCCGTTTCCCCAGCCTTACTTCTCCACTCACCCCCTCCTGTTCCTGAACCCTGGCTGTGAGATGAACACCTACCAGCCTGAGCTGACTCATGCCGTTATGTCCCTTCGGAGCCTCCTCCCTGCCCCGGCCGCTTGCTCCAGCTACCCTATCCAGTGGTTTCTGGGTGTTCTAAAGGTGCCCTTCACTGGGCAACAAGACCTTCATCTTGATGGTTTCATCCGAGTGGATATCCTCTGCCCTCTTAGTACCAGATTTTCCCCAGTTTCTTCCACAGAGATCGTCTTCACAGACCTGGTGACCCAGCTCCCAGCTATTGGGTCCAAGGGCTGGGGTCTGCGACTAGTTTGGTTTAAGGCAGGGGAAGCCCCTATGCAAAGGTCTGTCCGGCAGAGTGTGGGATGTGGAGCAGCCACTGCCAGGTTTCTGTCTCCCACTCCCATTCTCTGACTTTAAAGCAACAGTAATTGTTTTCATTTGCACCAAGGGCTCTGTCTGTGCTTGATTAACATGCAGCATGATAAAAATTATGCGTGACATGAAGTATGTCAGATTACCTCTGTTACAAATTTCCTTTCATTTCAACACCAAGCTGTGCTCCTCAATGCAAAGTCTATAAAGAGTTTGCCACAACCTGCATCTGCATTATTATTACTTAGAATGAGAAAATTAGCACTTCTTGCTCAGCAACGCTCTATTTAATAATGTATCCTGGGATCTTTGGTAAAGTTAACCTGGATCGCACCGGTCTGAAGTAGCAGTAGATCTTTCGCCTCTTCTTTCGGAGCTGGGGCTCTTGCTCTTGCTCACGAAGAGCATGGGTCTGTGATTACATGCGCAGCTACTTTTGTTTTCAAGTCCCGTGCAGTAGAAGTCATCTGAGTCTTTTGACTCGGCTTCTGAAAGCCAGGTTTTCTTTTTCTGTCTTTTCACCTATCTTTGGCTTCATTTTCCCTTCGACTATGTCTATTCCATCCTCTCCAGGCTGAAGATTGTTCTTCTTGATAGCGGATACGAAAGCAGGGTCGGAGCAGTCCATCCAGCTTTCTCTTGGTTTTTAACGTCACACTGTCCACTCCCTATGGAGCTGAGCTCTTTCTGGTCCTTTCCTTTCACTAACTCTACTCCCTCCCTGCCTCCCCCCATCCCCCAAGCTCCTTGAAATAATGTTCCTTATAAACTTCAGTACATCCTGGGCTTCCCAGTGGTATTTTTCTG